TGGATGGGCATGTCTCCACAGATACTGAGCAAACCCTTTGTCTCATCATCTGTCCAGAAGGGATTGGATGGGCATGTCTCCACAGATACTGAGCAAACCCTTTGTCTCATCATCTGTCCAGAAGGGATTGATGGGCATGTCTCCACAGATACTGAGCAAACCCTTTGTCTCATCATCTGTCCAGAAGGGATTGGATGGGCATGTCTCCACAGATACTGAGCAAACCCTTTGTCTCATCATCTGTCCAGAAGGGATTGGATGGGCATGTCTCCACAGATACTGAGCAAACCCTTTGTCTCATCATCTGTCCAGAAGGGATTGGATGGGCATGTCTCCACAGATACTGAGCAAACCCTTTGTCTCATCATCTGTCCAGAAGGGATTGGATGGGCATGTCTCCACAGATACTGAGCAAACCCTTTGTCTCATCATCTGTCCAGAAGGGATTGGATGGGCATGTCTCCACAGATACTGAGCAAACCCTTTGTCTCATCATCTGTCCAGAAGGGATTGATGGGCATGTCTCCACAGATACTGAGCAGACCCTTTGTCTCATCATCTGTCCAGAAGGGATTGGATGGGCATGTCTCCACAGATACTGAGCAAACCCTTTGTCTCATCATCTGTCCAGAAGGGATTGGATGGGCATGTCTCCACAGATACTGAGCAAACCCTTTGTCTCATCATCTGTCCAGAAGGGATTGGATGGGCATGTCTCCACAGATACTGAGCAGACCCTTTGTCTCATCATCTGTCCAGAAGGGATTGGATGGGCATGTCTCCACAGATACCGAGCAAACCCTTTGTCTCATCATCTGTCCAGAAGGGATTGGATGGGCATGTCTCCACAGATACTGAGCAGACCCTTTGTCTCATCATCTGTCCAGAAGGGATTGGATGGGCATGTCTCCACAGATACTGAGCAAACCCTTTGTCTCATCATCTGTCCAGAAGGGATTGGATGGGCATGTCTCCACAGATACTGAGCAAACCCTTTGTCTCATCATCTGTCCAGAAGGGATTGGATGGGCATGTCTCCACAGATACTGAGCAAACCCTTTGTCTCATCATCTGTCCAGAAGGGATTGGATGGGCATGTCTCCACAGATACTGAGCAAACCCTTTGTCTCATCATCTGTCCAGAAGGGATTGGATGGGCATGTCTCCACAGATACTAAGCAGACCCTTTGTCTCATCATCTGTCCAGAAGGGATTGGATGGGCATGTCTCCACAGATACTGAGCAGACCCTTTGTCTCATCATCTGTCCAGAAGGGATTGGATGAGCATGTCTCCACAGATACTGAGCAGACCCTTTGTCTCATCATCTGTCCAGAAGGGATTGGATGGGCATGTCTCCACAGATACTGAGCAAACCCTTTGTCTCATCATCTGTCCAGAAGGGATTGGATGGGCATGTCTCCACAGATACTAAGCAGACCCTTTGTCTCATCATTTGTCCAGAAGGGATTGGATGGGCATGTCTCCACAGATACTGAGCAAACCCTTTGTCTCATCATCTGTCCAGAAGGGATTGGATGGGCATGTCTCCACAGATACTGAGCAGACCCTTTGTCTCATCATCTGTCCAGAAGGGATTGGATGGGCATGTCTCCACAGATACTGAGCAAACCCTTTGTCTCATCATCTGTCCAGAAGGGATTGATGGGCATGTCTCCACAGATACTGAGCAAACCCTTTGTCTCATCATCTGTCCAGAAGGGATTGGATGGGCATGTCTCCACAGATACTGAGCAGACCCTTTGTCTCATCATCTGTCCAGAAGGGATTGGATGGGCATGTCTCCGCAGATACTGAGCAGACGCTTTGTCTCATCATCTGGCCAGAAGGAACTGGATTGGCATGTCTCCGCAGATACTAAGCAGACCCTTTGTATCATCATCTGTCCAGGCTTAACCACGTCGTAAACGCTTGTTTATCGGAGGCATGTTGTTTCCAGTGTAGAGCTACAGATTAATGACAGGGTGGATAGTGCATACCAACAACATACATACCAACAAAATGCATGTCTAGATTTCCTGGAAAACCATTCCATTATAAGCAGGGATGGATGGTTCTACAAATGTACCCCTGGTTGTAGTTAGCTTGATAGACCGTTTACATGACACTTTTACCCCCAAGGGGTAGAATACCCCCGGGGGTAACTGAATTTGCTCCACCTCTTGACCAGGGGCAGAATACCCCCCTGTGGGTATAATTTACCCCCCTGTTAGACCCGTTTATACGACAAAATATGCCTCTCAGGGGTATTTTACCCCCGGGGGCAAAGGGGTGCATGTAAACAAGGCTTTAGACTGCTTGGCCAGCCAAGCCCATTAACATCAAAGGACCAAGTCATACTACAGCTGCTTACATTACGCAATTACGACTTAACACATTGATGACAATATATACTGAGTCAAAAAAGAAACTTCACATTCTTTCTTCAGGGCACTATAAAAGAACAAGAGATGGTAAGATGGTTAAATTGTTATTATTTCATTGCTGCGATCTGTGTGATGTACTCGATACACTGACAGTGCCATAATCAGTTCCATTAGGCTACACCGCCGTTCCAAAACATGGGTATACAGAATGTCAAGTCACAAGAATAAAAATGCGAAATTTTTCAGTTTAATATCGTGTATGGCCGCCCCGCGCATTCACCACTGCCAAACACCGTCTCCTCATCGACTGCCTGATGCTTGTGAACACGTGGTTGGGGATTCTGCGCCATTGCTCTTGCAAGGCAGCGCCAAGTTCCTGCAAATTCTGAGGTTGGTTCCCAAGACCACGAAGCCTTCTCCCAAGTGCATCCAAAACGTGCTCTATTGGATTAAGGTCAGGGGACCTCGATGGCCAGTCCATGGCGTTGATTCCAGCGTTTTGAAGGAAATTTCGTGTCAACATCGCGGTATGCGGCCGAGCATTATCATGCTGGAACTATAGACCTGGGCCATGAGCCGCCATGAAAGGAACGAGTTCAGGGGTGAGCACCTGGTCGCGGTAAGCAGCAGCTGTGAGGTTTCCACGGATGACCAGAAGTCGGGAACGGTTGTTCCCACAGAAAGCACCCCACACCATGCAACTTCTGCCCCCGAATCTGTCGACTTCCTGTACACAACATTGGGCATACCGTTCACGACGTCGTCTCCAGACTCTATGCCTGCCGTCCGCGAATCTGAGGGTAAACCTGGATTCATCGCTAAAGACGACTCGACTCCAGTCTCTCTGGGTCCATCGGAGGTGACGTTGGGCCCACAGCAGACGTTGACGTTGATGAAACGGCGTCAATATTGGCCACCGATATGGACGTCGAGAATGGAGATTGGCAGCCCGCAACCGATTTCGAATGGTCTGTGAGGACAGTCGACCTCTAAACATCTCAGCCCTGGCTCGTGTAGCCGGCAGAAATCTGTCAAGTAGGTGACGTAGGACGATTTGACGGTCTTCTGCTCGTGACGTCACACGTGGACGACCCGACCTTGGGCGATCAGAAGTGGTGCCAGTTTGTTGTAGACGACCTCGCAAGTCATACACAGTACGACGGTTGCATCCCATTGCTCTTGCGACGTCAATAACTGATCTTCCCGCTTGTAACATGCCAACGGCACGTTCACGTTGCACATTTGACAATCGTGGCATTTAAAGTACCGTTAGAACTGTCGTTTAAAAGTGTTTTTTCAATTCTAGAGGTCAAAGCAAACACGTGCATATGAAGAAAACTTCGATGCGAAGATCACGTGATCGACTGCACGTGCAAAACCTGATTTGACACTAACGTCATTTGCACGACGAATGGATGGGTTTGAGTGGGTTTTGCTAACGTTTTTCTAGAGTCGAAATATAGGGATCCAATTTCGGATACATAGATGTATCATCAGAGAAAAATTATTCATTATTTTTCAAATTACATTTTGTGAAGTTTCTTTTTTGACTCAGTATACATGCATAATATAAGATAAACATGAACAACACTCTATTCATGGGTATTTAACTGTATCCGTGTCATCATATACACATATCATATACTTATACATGTATAAAGAACATAACCCCCTAGGGGGTATATCAAGGCAAATTAAAAATGGTAGCTATTGGGCATACCGCGTAAACAATTGTTAACATATATACTTCATGTATATTTATTTTGTCTCGTTATGCTACCTGGTACTTCTTGCAATATGAAACCTGACAATTTAAGTCTGTTCAAAAGTGATGAAAGTAAACAATGCACACTTTGGCGGCAGCTATCTGAGAGTCGTATCACTTAAATGGTTGTGGAATATATATCCTCACAAGTAAATTAAATTGGATGACACCCTGTCATAGAGTGGAGAACTGACCAATTCTCGCCATCTCATATAGCGTTATCTCGAGCTGATACTGATAAATAACACATCGTTTATGCCCTTGATAAAGTTTTCATAAATATTCCACTGATAATTTCAAATTACTTGCATACAACCAGAGATTGAGTTAACAGGGAGCCAATAGAGAACAGCATGATACTTGTGAAAAGTGACTTAATCAAGGTATTACATAACGACGTGTGTATGAAAGTTTTCTGTCCTCGAGGAGTAGGATTTCACAAAAATGAATTCGAGATCAGAGATTAATTCAGAAACGTCAGAAAGCTTTTTTCCCTGTGTCCTCAGGGCAAGTTCACATCGCGAAATGTTTTTAATGGGCATACGTTCTGTAATGAGGTCATTTTACATTTGATCCTAAAAGGTATATCAATGAATACCTATCTATGCCACAAAATACAATAACATCACAGTTCGAACCTCAAATATATATTTATCGTCATTACGTACAATCATCTTGACGCCAGAACTGTATAAAACGAAAATTTTATAAAGAAACCTTTTCTTCTCTTCTTTGATGAATGCATATGTCATTAAATAACCGAAGCGGTACACCAGCGGTCCGCATGCATTATAACAATAACATTATAGCATATATCTTTGGGTGAAAGTTTGATGGGTTATGTTTTGCTATATACTCTGATGAACAGATATTAAGGTGGATACTTGTTTCAACGACCAAGCTGGATGTAGCCCAAGGCACATATGAGCAACGTTCAACTGCTCAGTTACAGTCGATATTCAGAGCGGAACGTCATGGTAGGTATCGACACCTAACTTTTCATATTATTTATATTTTATACAAATATTAATGCGATGTCGTTCTAAATAATGCTATGATTAAGAGGCTATTTGTTGAGGAACATGTCGTTAATGTTCTGAAGGTCATCACACGTTCACTGCCAACCCATTTGGCAGTGTCAATATCAAGCTTATAGCTGTCAAACATGTTTTGATGTGAGATTCAGGTTTTGAAAGCGTTTTGTGTTATGTCCTCTTCTCCACAACAAATTTGGAGTCTAAGATTTCTTGCAAAGTTATTATGTCCTACAATATAGATGTTGCATGTCAGTAATGCTGCCTTGTTACTAAGTTACGTGTTACTTACTTTGGGTGGAAATAATTTGTCATTACAGACAGAGCATTTGACACAGGAACAGATTTCAGGTAAGTACTTTGTGCAACTATTATTCATACAGTGGTAAATGAGTGGGTGCGTGCCTGCGTGTGTGAATGCGTGTGTGCGTGCGTGTGTGCGTGCGTGAATTGAGTTTAATGTAGACTTGATCAGTATTTGTGTTATATGGTATTATTTGAGGAATGTGATGCATTTTCGACAAAAAAGGATGTGGTCCTGACGAACCAAGGATCAATCTGGGATTCGAACCTATGTTTGATCCTTGGGTCTGATTGGGAATCAGAGGTCAGAACTGATGTAATGTAAGAAATATTTGTTGTTACATAAACACAAGTTTATCACACGTTAGAGTTCATACAATCCACTCATGATTTAAGGAGAAACTTTTTAATGGTTACAAATGAGATAGTTCTTCATTTTAACATCACATTCCACTAACAGAGAAAATATGAACAGGCCGTCCAGTATTTGCAACAAAACAGCATCATTATTAAATTATGAGACAGGTCAATCGATAACATTACAGAATTCAAAGAGGCGTTCGGTCTTTTTGACAAGGATGGAGATGGGACTATTACCACCACGGAGCTGGGGACGGTGATGAGGTCACTTGGACAAGAACCATCACAAACAGAACTACAAAACATGATCAGAGAAATAGATGCTGATGGTAAGGTGTCTTAAAGACACATGGCTCTATACTGCGCAACAAGCACGTCATCAGGCACATTAATGCTTCATTTCAGTTGCCTACACTTGTAAACAAAAACTCCTTTATGACAACAGTCTTGTACGATAATGTGCAATCGTGACGGTACAACAGCCTTTAGATGTGTATTTCCGTACCGTCATTCCACAGGCCGTCATATAATCTGCCTGGCAGAAGAAGTTGTACAAATCAAATCAAATCAAATCAAGTTATGATTTTCAATGATCCATTTACACCATTGCCATCGCGTTTATGCCTGTCAAGCTGTTGCAGTTACAGTAGGCATTTTTCCATTATGTTATACTTTATGAATTTAGGTATCTTTCTTACGCACTAGAGAGGTCATTTTGATAAAATGTGTATGTGCCAATCACCCCGACCAAAGCGACGTAGACTACTAATAATGTTTCCTTTTAGGTAATGGTTTAATAGATTTTCCTGAATTTCTGGACATGATGGCCAAACGGATGAAATCTGACGCCGATGACGAGATTAAGGAAGCATTCCGAGTGTTCGACAAGGATGGCAACGGTTTCATCAGTGCAGCTGAGTTGAGGCATGTCATGACAAACTTGGGCGAGAAGCTGACTGACGAAGAAGTCGATGACATGATCAGAGAAGCGGACACCAATGGCGATGGACAAGTAGATTATGATGGTAAGATTGTATTGAACTTATCCATTAGCATGCCCGCCTGTCCACTGTACACAAAACGTTAAGGACAAACATACGAATAACATTTGAAATGAAACCGTAGTATGATATGGTATACACTCATATATAATGATTGATATAAGAAATAAGAAATGTTTCTTCCATGGTAGAGTAATTACAACAAGTATTATATATGTGTTTTGGACATTAAGTTTGCTGTGTTTTGGACGACTGTTTCCAGCCCAGTAACATTTTCATTGCTTTGCAATTTTGGGGCCAGTATGTTCAACGGAACACATTGTTTAGCTGAGTAGTAATTTTAATGACCTGACAGAATAATATCTCTAGTGTTAACACATATATACATGCTTCGCTAAACTTACTAATATTACAGGTGACATATTGAGAAGGCTCAGTTGTATTAAATATTATTTAATTGTTCTCACTTTATATAATGTTATTAGACTGACTGACTGACTGGGTTTGGTTTTACGCCGCTTTTAGCAATATTCCAGCAATATCACGGCGGGGGACACCAGAAAAGGGCTTCACACATTGTGCCAATGTGGGGATTCGAACCCGGGTCTTCGGCGTGACGAGCCAACGCTTTAACCACTAGGCTACCCCCCCCCCCCCCTATTGTTATTAGAATATATGTATGTAATGTATACTTTTAGAGTTCAGTGGGTCGATACTTTGATGCAATAAATCACTGTTGGCCACACTGTCCTCTGGACCTTCTTGAGCTGTGACCTACACGAGTGCTGCATAAAGAGTGCAATATATTTACATTGATTATTAATATGTTGTAACTGTTTGTTTTTTCAGAATTCGTGAGGATGATGAAGAACTAGTACCATTCTGAACGTCTTCATACCAGCTTGTGTAGCTATGTGTTTCATTTTGTGGGTCTATACCTGTGGGTCAGGTACCCTACCCGTAACAGAGAACAAGGGATGTGTCTTCGAGTATGAACGTACGGATCATTAATGATCTGTTGTATTGTTCTCATTTGTTAAGACACACTTCCATTTCTTCATACAATTGAAAGAGTCAAGTGACGTTTTCCTTCCTGCAGAAGTTACTCAAAATTGATATCCATCTGTGTAGTTTACTGAAGGTTGTTGTGGAATAAATATACGTTATAATGTTTACTTGATGTCAATATGTTGTTTTTTGGTGTTCCAAATACAATACTCCTAATGTTTATTATCCTGACACACATTAAATTGGTGACTGGCGTTTCCACAAAACTGCTCACAGTATTTCTTCCGTTCTACATCGACTCTGTTTTGCTCTACTTAAGTCTACTGTTCTACTTGAGATTAGTGTGTGGGGGAGTGTTGGGTTCATACACTTGCACCCTTATTGACTCGGCTACTGCGATACTTACACTAACAATTACTCAACTTTGTCAACTGTGTGCAGACACGTTGAAACGTTTAGACGACAATGGAGATATTAACTGGGCTTCGGCAGTACGATCAATATTATTTCAACATGGCTTTGCTTATGTATGGATATATCAAAATGTTGGAAACTGGGAATTGTTTTTAAATCTTTTCAAACAACGTTGTAAAGACGTACTATCAAGAATGGACACAAGATATAAGAAACTCAAAATCACTGCATATGTATTCTGCCTTTAAATCTGATATTGTTCCGGAATTGTATTTGATCGCACTCTCTTCGTTACATCTGCGCAGAGTCTTAACAAAATTCAGATGCGGCTCCACCAATTTAAAAATAGTTTCGTATAGAAGATCTAAAGACAATGACATTAGTGTAGCTATGTGCGATTATTGTAAAAATGTACCACAAGATGAGTATCATGTGTTAATGAAATGTCCTTTATATGCAGCGGTAAGAACTCACTACATACCAAGTATCTATATTTTGAACCCAAATAAACAAAAATTTGTACATCTTCTAAATACTAAGAACCATAACATAATACTCCGTCTAGCAATTTTTGTAAACAAAATCATGTCCATGCGCTCTGTAAAAATTTAATCCAAATTGTCATTTTGTATTATTGGCCTCATGGTCACATTTATGAAATAAACCTGTCTGTCTGTCTGTCCAATACATATTTAGTATAAACAGTAGTGAGGGTGGATATTCTACAACACACAGTTATAAATACCATTCTCCAGCCATAACACATGCGAGAGTTCACATTGACATATATGACTTTGTAGGGTGCACACATATACCCAGACACCCCGAATAACTATTATCCACAATGGTCATAACAATTTTACTGTATATTCAAAGTTAACATTGCAAGTTTGAACTACACCATAGCGATTTAAGTCATGCATTGCAGGTCTCAATGTATCCTTTGTACGACCAGCAATGCATTGGCATTACTGATCCAAAAGCTTCACACCTTTACTGACTCTCCTGCATAGACTTACACACTCACAAAAGACGTCTTCTCTCTTTCATTGTTAACAGTACCGTTACAACTGTTTTTTTCTTACCTGAATTATAGCAGTGTATGTTCTATAGAGACTTTCCTAAAGGGTGTATAAATGTTGGACCATACTAAGAACATAGTCAGGCTGTCTGCCATTTTGGGTTTGTATTCTTACAGCTACACCTGTGCAAGTAGCACCTGTAGACAACATGGTAAGTGGATAATTTACTTTGTGTTTTGAAACGTGACACCAATAATGCGCTTAAATAAGTAATTAATATGTGATCATTTATAGTTGTTGAGTGTTAATTTGTATATTTAAATTGTGACTTAAGTGTCAATAATCTTTTAATGGAGACACAGCTGACGTAATGTCAATTCTCATTTGTTTTAGCAATCTGAAAACGATCTAACGGAGGATCAGGTTGAAGGTAATGAATGTGATACTAATTGTCAAACACAATTGACGTTCACACTGTATATGCTATTCGCTCATTATCATGACGAACTACGATGCAATGATAATATAACGTTTTGAGGTCATATTAACCTTTGAGAGGTTGATATGATGGTCATGATATGATGGTCATGATATGTTATTTGTGTTATAATGAAATTAAATATGTGCATCTTTGTAATCGCATAAAACCTGGACCAACACATGTGACCCTGACCTTCAGAAATTTGTAACTCTGGACCACACAATCCAGTGATTGATATCATGAAATACGATGACAGGGCAGAGTACGAAATAATCTAATGGGTATCATCATACAATTAATTACAGACTAATCTCAATTGTCTATTGATGTTCTTTACCTGTTTTGTTGTTACAGAAGTAACAATATCCTTACATCCTTACTAATTGTTATGGTCTGTTTGCAGTGAAAACGTACCGATGAATTTCACTCTAAACAAAAAAGTAAATCGATTAAAGCGAAATTAAAGCGAATCCTCATAATTTTACCTTGCCAATTGAACATTCAATCTCAGAATTTTATTCAACTTAGGATTAAAGTTTTTTAACAAACGATCATAGTTTCAAATCGCTATTATTAGTTTGTATTACAAGGGGGTATGCACATTAGATGAAACACCGAGAACAAGTAGGGCTGGTCTAAGTTAACGCTCATCACGTACAGCACGTGTAATACAAACCAATAATGGCTATTTGAATCTATTATCGTTTGTTAAACAACTTTTATCCTAAGTTGAATAAAATTCTGAGATTTAAATGTTCATTTGGCAAGGTAAAATGATGAGGATTCGCAATCTTAATTTCGCTTTAATCGATTTACTTTTTGTTTAGAGTGAAATTCATCGGTACGTTTTCACTGCAAACAGACTATACAGTGGTCACACTCAATATAATATTCTGAATTCATCATATCCGCAGAGTTTACGAAAGCCTTCAAAGAGTTCAGTGAAAACGATGACGAAACTATACCAAACGAGAAGTTGGGAGCTGTGTTGACGAAACTAAAGCTGGAGCTACCAGATGATGAGCTCAAGGACATGATCAGTGAAGCGGATCCTGATGGTACGAATAATGTTGTGCTCAGGCTGTTTCACATTCATTACTCTGTCATTACCGATCTTACCTTGACATTAAACCTTAAATGTATATCAAAACAGAATAAAGGTACTTAAAAGTGGTACAGTATTAACTGAAATATGAAAATATGGACTCCAGTGAACATGTATAACCTATTACCTATGTTCATGGTCGGGTCGACAGGGTAGCCTAGTGGTTAAGGTGTTTGCTCGTCCCGGGTTCGATTCCCCACTTGCGTAGAATGTGTGAAGCCCATTTCTGGTTTCGCCCGCCCTGGTATTGCTGAAATATTGCTAAAAGCGGTGTAAAACCATTCTCACTCACTCATAGTAGCTCAGATGTTGCTTAGCTGACAACTGACGCCATGTTTAATCTTTTCAGGGAAGGGCAAGATTGACCTTCCTCGGTTTCTGAGCGTGATGTCAAATAAGCTCAACGAGGAGGAGGAAGAAGAAGAGGAGGATGAGGAGGATGAAGATAGTGAGGAGGAATACAAAGCTACCTTCCGACTCTTTGACAAGGATGGCGATGGTTCCATCAGCGCGACAGAAGTCAGGGCGTTCCTTGTAAATATGGGGGAGACTTGGACTGAAGAAGAAATTGACGATATGATCAACGAGGCCGATGCTGATGGGAACGGAGAGGTCGACTACGAAGGTGAGCAGGTCACAGCCTGGAAAAACAACCCGTTACTTTACACTCAACTCCCCTAATCCATACAAGAAAATAGAATAAAGCAATATGCCATTGGTTATTATAGAACGTCATCTTGACCTTGACCTTGACCTGCTCTCTCGACGGATGGTAAGGGCAGCAAAGGACAAGGGTGTTGAGAACATCTAGTTTCACTTGTGCAACGTCAGTTATTCTAGAAAGTTTCGCCACCATTATGTGTCATTGTCGTGTGAGGGTTTGACATTTTCACTCTGAAAATTTACTGGTTGCTCCTCTCACAAACAGTATAACACATTATCGCAAATGCTGTTTATTTGACCAGAATGAATGTCATCACTCATTCAAACAATTATCAGTTTTATCCACAAAGACATGACAAATGGCTAATCAACAAAACATAGTCCATGTTTCATCTTATTCATCCTAAACATATGATGATATGATGAACATATAATATATGATGTATCATTATGTTTCAGAATTTGTAAAGATGATGAAGGGAAAGTGAGTTCAAGAGGATAAAGAATATAAACTCTGTGCTACTGAAGGTCATGTGGGTCTAGATAAATCCTGTAGATGGTAGATTCATCAAATGGAACAAGCCAGTATAAGGACGCTATGATATCCATGACATTTCACGTCTCTCATGTGATCTCAGCATGTATGAACGTCATAATAAACGCATTGAAATAAGTCTCTGTGTTTTCTTGTTTTGTTGCTTTTGAAAGTATTGACTTGAATTCAGCGTAAAGTGTCCAAACTTGTCCATACTACATGATCATGTGACATACTACATGATCATGTGAAAGTGGTACAAGCAGCGTCATGCTTTTGGTTACTTGAATACATGTATCAACAACAGCGTGGACCAGTGTTCTCATAGCCTTAAAGTACAAACTGTCTGTAAGTGGTGAGTTAGTGCATATTGTGGTTGTCTGGTTGTATGGTTGGTTGAGTGGTTGAGTGAGTGAGTGTTTATGGTGGATTCTTTTGTACAACCATTTTAATGTGAGTGAGTGATTGTTGGTGGGTTGTTAATGTTAGACTGACTGACTGACTGATTTTGGTTTTACGCCGCTTTTAGCAATATTCAGGCAAAAACATCACGGGGGACACCAGAAATGGGCTTCACACATTGTACCCATGTGGGATTCGAACCCGGGTCTTCGGCGTGACGAGCCAACGCTTTAACCATTAGGCTACCCCACCGCCCCTGTTAAGTGTTAGAGTGAGTATTTGAGTGGTTGAGTGAGTGGTTGCTTGAGTGGTGGAGTGGTTGAGTCAATGATTGTGTGGTTGAGTGGTTAAGTGAGTGGTTGTGTGGTTATACAGTTGGTTGAGTGAGTGAGTGCATATGGTGGATTCTTTCGTACATCCATTTCAATGTGAGCGAGTGATTTATGGTGGGTTGTTAAGTTTTAGAGTGAGTATTTGAGTGGGTGAGTGAGTGTTTGGTAGAGAGGTTGAGTGGTTGATTAAGTGGTTGAGCGGTTGAGTGAGCAAGCGAGACTGAGTGAGTAAATGGTTGTGTGGTTGAGTGGTTGAATGAGCGGTTGTGTGGTTATGTGGTTGCATGGTTGGTTGAGTGAGTAGTTGAGTGAGTGGTTGAGTAGTTGAGTGAGTGAGTAACTGGTTGAGGGAACCAAGTGAGTGAGTGAGTGACTGCGACAGAAGCTTAAGGTAATATCCTTAAGTGGATCAAATGTCACACTTTTACCACTTTGGTAAAATAACAACCCCTAAGGAATGCGTCAAGTGGAACATGGAAACTGTGACGTTGGGTTGACCAGATGAATCCTTGGTACGAATACTTGTCGGGACTTACGACGTTCGCCACAAATCCTGGTTCAGATACGAATTCTACAGTGTCTCCAAGATTTCATCGACAACATTGTGTTAACGAGGTATCGTCTCATACCATAACCACTGATGATAAATGTTTAGACGGGTTCACACTATTTTCACACGTTTTCAATAATTGTACGTATTACTATTAGTTCAACATATTATACTTTACTCGTAATAGACGCACAGAACACAAAACATATATCACATTCACTGTCTAACATACTGAATGTAAGCACTACCTGTTCAAATAATTCAAACCACATAAAAGACAACTTTGCTGTAACACTTCACTTAAAGCATACAATCACGATCTCCAACACCTTTACAAATTCAACCTGCAAAGTGTTCACAAAGATGTCTCATGTGACTATCAGTCTGGCATAACTAGTTTTACCATATGAATTGCATGCTGTCTATTCTCCTTCATATGCTCATAATGACGCTATAAGTGTTGAATATACCAATATACCTGTGCGACAGGTGGGCATTTTGATGGGGTATTCTTGAGACGACATCTGTACAAGACACACCTGCAGACACCATGGTAAGTCGAGATTGTTATATAAAGGTTAACCTTGTTTTGTGATCCAATGTTAATTGTAGTAACTTGAATTTAACAAGTTTTAGGAACAAATTCGTAATTACAAAATAAATGGCTTTCAAGACGATTCAAAGACAAATTAGTAGTTCATACGAGTGTATGGTTAGGTTTACAATGATGCAATGGTTGAACGTTACGATAAAATGAAGTCCCATTGACATGTATAATCCATCGCCTAGTTGCATGGGAAACCAATATGAATAGTCGAAGAATTTCACGTTTTGGTTAATTTTGAATGTTTAAAGTTTTACTTATTTTTAGGCTGACGTCTTGACACAGGAACAAATTGCAGGTGATGTAGCATATTATTTTATCGGTTTATATTGCAGCTATGGAATGTATACAGATGACATGTGACATGAATTGTTGGAACTGTGTGTTATTTATGCAAATATAATCACTCTGATATGACACATCATAATAATCCATTGAGGGTTATGTAAATATGAAACGCCAATAATTAATCAGTCCAGTTCTAAGAGATTCCATCCGGCGTACAAGTGGAAATATTGGTAAACATTACATGCATGAATCACGGAACGTAACTAACGGGATGGTGCATTTGCAAGAAGGGTAAGCATATCATGTCCTACCGGTTTCACCACCTCTCCCAGAATTTCCATAAAAACACTTTGTAGCTTCTCAATCTCAGTGTGACGAGCTTCTGTCTGTCTGTTCATCTATCCGTTTCACAATTTCAGAAATGCAAGAGGCATTTGGCCTTTTCGACAAGGACGGGGATGGAATGATTACAACGAAGGAATTAGGATGCGTCGTTAGATCTTTAGGACAGAATCCAACCGAAGCGGAATTGCAAGAAATGATCACTGAACTTGACGAAAACGGTAAGATGCTAGTTTCTTTGATTCCAAGATAAACCTTGACGTGTATTCATAATGTGAATAACTCGACTCTGACAAAAGTAACGTGTATGTCTCAGAGAATTCATATCCGTTTATCTCTCCTAACAAGTCCAATTCCATCAAATATGGAACATCAACACCAGAGAGTTATCTGGCTCAATTATGTTCCTAAAAGAGATTCCATTGTTTGGAAATGGCACAACAGCCATAAAATGGCATGAATGGAAACGTAAACTCATATATACTAAACGTTTGACACCGGATATCAAAACGTTCCATGAACGTTTGTTGCATTGTTGTCGCCAACGGATTGTGCGACTCTTATCGATAACTTATTAATCCATAAAAAGATTTTATATCTGCTGATTTTCTCTATCCCAAGAGAATGGAACACTCGAGTTTCCTGAATTTCTAAACATGATGTCAAAGAGGATGAAAGAGGAGAACCCAAAAGAAGAACTCTATGAAGCTTTCCGAGTGTTCGACAAAGACGGTAATGGCTTCATCAGTACAGCTGAATTGAGGCATGTCATGACAAACCTGGGCGAGACGTTGTCAGAGGAGGAGGCTGAGGAGATGATAAAGACAGCAGATCAAAGCGGGGATGGGAAAATAAACTATGAAGGTACGTGTTTCTCAACATCATAATAACAGGAATGAGACCAACAATAATGGTATATAAAGTTCTTGGTGGGTTCGACTAGGCCCTGTAATACATATAATTATAATAATGATAAGGTGATAAAGTACAACTTCAAAATATTTTACAAGCAAAAGGTGTATGTAGTATCATATGTTTTTACTAGATATCATTTTCGGGGCGGTGGGGTAGCCCAGTGGTAAAAGCGTTCGCTCGTCACGCCGAAGGCCCGGGTTCGAGTCCCCACATGGGTACAACTTGTGAAGCCCATTTCTGGTGTCCCCCGCCGTGATATTGCTGGAATATTGCTAAAAACGGCATAAAACCATACTCAGCCAGTCAGATATCATTTTCAGTGGATAGCAAATTTGAATACGGAGAGTTAGATACACAAAGGAATGGCTTTTTTTCAGAATTCGTGAAGATGATGATGGCAAAGTGATTCAGAGAGGCCGCTTGATGCTCCTGATATTCCAATCGAAAGGATTTATTCAGTGGACCTGGACATTTTTCTGGTGAATGTAAATGGGTGCTAACGAAGTTTTGAAGCGTATTTTCTTCTTGTCAGTCACGCCGTCCTAGACTCTAGTGCATATATTTCAATAAACAAGTTATATGATTTCAAATACTTGTTACTTACTTTTTATAAATACGATTAAGCTAAATAGAGCCACCCATTGAGAAAGTTGGAATTAACGTGTCACACAGGCGTGTGGCCCTTGGACGTGGAAGGACAGCCCCCATTGATGCTGGTTATAGAACACCCACACACCCCCTCTCTCTCTCCCTCTCTCTCCCTCTGTGTGTGTGTGTGTGTATGTGTGTACGTGCCGTGACGCATAAATAAAAGCAACCTCTGCTCACAAAACTCACACAGAAAATGAAGAAACCCCCAAATCTTCCCAAATGCATTTATACAATTACATCTAATCACACAAGTAAGTACATGTATTTAAAACAGGATCGTTATTTGAACACTTCGCAATATGTATACGAAAGATTAAATACCGATACGTTTCGGTGCCTTATGGGAAGTTCTTATGTGTCAGAATTTGTCACATCAAAATCTCTAAGGGCAGTAGCCTAAGATTCCGATCGTGTTACAGCTAAAGCAGGTACAATGTTTCCCCATGTTATCACTTACTGTCCAATATATACATAAAACTCTGAAAGACGATCTGATGTTAAAATACCTCAGTGTAAAACAGTTTCAATTTTTAGCGGCCATTAAACATATCGGATTCACAGTAGATACTGACCCATTGCACAGAACAACATATACTACGTACTGACACGTCACATAGAACAGATACTAGATAATGACCCACCAAATAGAACAACATATACTAGATACTGACCCGTCACATAGAACAACAGATACTAGATACTGACCCATCACATAGAACAACAGATACTAGATACTGACCCGTCACATAGAACAACAGATACTAGGTACTGACCCGTCACATAGAACAACAGATACTAGGTACTGACCCGTCACATAGAACAACAGATAGTAGATACTGACCCATCAAATACAACAGATACTAGATACTGACCCATCACATAGAACAACAGATACTAGGTACTGACCCATCACACAGAACAACAGATAGTACATAATGACCCATCTCATAGAACAACAGATACTAGATACTGACCCATCACACAGAACAACAGATAGTACATAATGACCCATCTCATAGAACAACAGATACTAGATACTGACCCGTCACATAAAACAACAGATACTAGGTACTGACCCGTCACATAGAACAACAGATACTAGATACTGACCCATCACATAGAACATCAGATACTAGATACTGACCCATCACATACAACAGATACTAGATACTGACCCGTCACATAGAACAACAGATAGTAGATACTGACCCATCACATAGAACAACAGATACTAGATACTGACCCATCACATACAACAGATACAAGATAATGACCCATCACATAGAACAACATATACTAGATACAGACCCATCACATAGAACAACATATACAAGATACTGACCCATCACATAGAACAACAGATACTAGATACTGACCCATCACATAGAACAACAGATACTAGATACTGACCCATCACATAGAACATCAGATACTAGATACTGACCCATCACATAGAACATCAGATACTAGATACTGACCCATCACATACAACAGATACTAGGTACTGACCCATCACACAGAACAACAGATACTAGATACTGACCCATCACACAGAACAACAGATAGTACATAATGACCCATCTCATAGAACAACAGATACTAGATACTGACCCATCACATACAACAGATACTAGGTACTGACCCATCACACAGAACAACAGATAGTAGATACTGACCCATCACATAGAACAACAGATACTAGATACTGACCCATCACATAGAACAACAGATACTAGATACCGACCCATCACATAGAACAACAGATACTAGAAATGACAGGTACAAATATATTTGTAAAGTAAGGAAGAAACCTTGTACACACTCTTACAGACATAAATATTCCAATGAATCTTACAAAGATATGTTCAAAAATAGGTACTATTTAATGTAACACATTGCTGTTCACAACTGTTGTGTGACTGTGTAACTCTTTTACTATCTTAACGTTTAGGTAACATATGTTCATGTTAAATTATACACCCAGATATTCAACAGGTTCTATTGACTACAACAAGTCCATATGTCACTCTTCACCATTGCTGTGTAACCATCAGTGTGGTAAGCTGCATATTTACTCCATATGTTAATATTCGAATTTGCCGATCTATTTGATAAGTAACAGTAATTTTACACCAGATATTCTTCAATACAAGACTTTTTCATATGTCACTCTTCACCATTGCTATGTAATTGCCTTATTGCTGCATGTTTACTTAATATGTTAATAATAAAATTTGCTGAAAAATAAAGTCAAGCTTTTTAATAAATAACAGTAATTATACACAAGATATTTAACAGATATTCTTGAATGCAAGACTTAGTTAATAGTTTACCCTTCACCACTGTTGTGTAATTGCCTTAGTGCGGTAAACTGCACGTTTACACCATATGTTAAAATTACAATTTGCTAAAACATAGAGCCCAACTATTTAATAAATGACAGTAATTATACACCAGATGTTCAACAGATACTCTTGAATACAACAAGTTCATACCTTCTTGCTGATCACGATTATATGAGTCACTTTTTGTAATGGACAAATGAGATGCATATTAAACAGCCTGAACAAAGTTAATACCTCTTTACCCATAACAGCCACGATCACCCTCAAATGAATACTATCTTGATATTGAGAAGTTTGTATGCATATTACAAAGTCTAAAAAATGTTTACACTCCTTGGGTCCGACTTCTCAACTGTATCCAACTATAAAAGATTTTATGACTCATTTCATTTTGAGAATGATCATAAAACGAGATTGTTTGTTTTAGCCACCTCAAGCTCTTTCCTTACGTAAGCGTGAAAATTTAAAGGAAGGATTTTATAATTAACCAAGAAGCTGAACTGAGCTGTAGATTGAGATACCCTCTGTGTCCCATTATCCTGTGGCGCCCAGAGACATGGACTCGTTGCAAATCAGAATGCACGGACAGTTCGAAATAGGAATTCTGCCGCTCCTCTCACGTCAAATCATGAGAACACTTTAATGTGCGGCAAATCAACAGCAAATAGGAGAATATTCTTAAGACAGTCTATGCTACTTTCAATTCATATTCCGCAGTCTAAAGTGAGTCGTTGGGTTATAGAATTTCAATACTCCACGACGATACAATCTTCTCATTCATGACTTTAAAGGCTGACAAAAACGTTTCAAACTGTCAATTGACCGGATTAAAATAACTTGTATGACTGTACCAGCACAACTTGAATAGCGAAAGTCTATTTTCTGTTGAAAGGTTCAACACATGTTTTAATTTGTTAAACGTGTTGAGAGCACGGTGAAACGCACTGCCATTTTTGTTCCGTTCCTTGAGGCTTCGCCAGTGCAGTTACCGCCCAGAAACATCATGGTAAGTGTCACATAGTTACCTAATATACTAGTAAATAAATAAGTCTATTGAATTTGAACCGAGTAAGAGAACTGCCGTTATTTGTTCCCATTAAGTGCTCAGCTGACTTTATTGAACATAGAACATAACTAAAATCAATAAAAAAAAGACTTATTTACTAATAACATAAATTGTCGGATAATAGGAAAATATACATTAATGTTTTGTTTTACTTAAAAGCCATAAAAAAATAAACAATCATGGTTATCCGATAATGATGTTATTCACACGGGTATCACAGTTGGTTTGGTCCTTTCGTTCGCAGTGTAAGGTTTGGAAAACGGTTGTAATTGTTTTCGCCATATTACGTTTTCAAGAGAATACATTCTTTTACCCTGTAGTTTTAATTCAGTTATGACATTGGAGGGATTTTCGTGGTGGTGACAAATGACTCTTTGATAAATAAGATAATTTTCAGGTTCCGATTACATACACTGTGAATATGCATATTCAGTTGGTGCTGAGTAGACATGTGTAAAGAGCACAGGTCACAAATCAGTTGGTCAGTTAAGCAGCGTTGGTCCGTTGGATTGGTGACAATGTTTGGCAGCAGAGTTTCTAGGACCTCAGTCCTGTACAAAAAACAAGGACATGTAACACATGTGGTCTCAATTTAGGCAAGTGATTTTGTTCCAAATTGCCTCTGGTTACCCAGCAGTGAGTGGGTACCCGGTGGGATGAGATGACTGTTAACCTTCTAGCATGGGTTGTAATACACACTGATCCATTGATAATGTGTAATAATCTTAGCGCACCTTGTATATGAACGAAGTACAAAATTGGAATTATGGAATTATTGTCATCATTATTACAGCAGTCCCCGGATTTACTTACTGAAGAACAGATTGCAGGTAAGTCATCTTTGACTAATTGTGAGTGAATTTTGTTATTCTTGCAAGCCAATTTGAACAGTACTTCATTTATACCAAGACTAGTCAGCTTGATGTCAGAGAAAAATCCAAACTGTAGAAGGTCCTTAGGGAAACTCACTTACAAGATCACTTGAATTTTTGATCATCCAGCACACACGTAAGGGAGGCAACTCCTCAAAGCGAATCGCGACGCTTGAAATGACTAGGCAACCTATATCCATGATACGAAATGTATGTTAATGAAAACCTAAGATGTAATACAATCATGACAGTTTAATGTCTTTAAAGTAACTTTTTAAAATGGACGTCATCTCTGAAAGAGGAATGTGAGAATATTTTCATACTTGAAAAGTTGACACAAATCAGAACTGAAATGCATGAAACGTTTCTCGAACATGTATATCATAAACCTTATGCTGATATATGTCATATGTGTATTACTTTTATAGTATAGTTTATTAACCTTTAATATAGTGAAGTTCTATAAATGTTAAAAGCGTTTATGCTATGCAATTCCTTTTGCATACGAATATATTCTAGCGGTTTTTATTAAGAAGTTTTATGTGAATTTACAGATATTTCAATGCAAAATACATATAGGTAATATAAAAGTATAAAGAAAAATAATAAAAATCAAAGTTGTTCAAACGAAATATGAAATGATATTTAAAATTGTTCCTGCATGTCACCATATATCATGCAGAATTCAAAGAGGCCTTTAGTCTTTTCGACAAGGATGGGGATGGGAGTATCACAACGACCGAGCTTGGTACGGTCATGAGGTCTCTGGGCCAGAACCCGACTGAAGCAGAGTTACAAGACATGATCGGCGAGGTGGATGCGGACTGTGAGTAGATGCCATCTTTCTACACTAAACAAAAACATCTTTGTATTAATAAGGGGACGACAGTGAGCCTAGTGGTTAAAGCGTTCCCTCGTTACTCCTAAAACTCGGTTCGATTCCTCACGTTGGTATAATGTGTGAATCCCATATCTGGCGTCCTTCAGCGTAAAATTATATTCACTCACCTACAGTCGAACCCCAATGTCTCGAACTCGCCTGAGACGAATTCACGGTTGTGTCGAACTTATATCTCGGTCGCAGAAAAAACGATGTTGTAAGCACTTTGATCGTGTTGGTACTTGGTAATGTCTATGCTGACGGATGTGTCGAACACTCTGATAAGTCGAACTTTTCCCTCGGTCCCGACGAGTTCGACACAACGGGGTTTGACTGTACTTCCTATTCGGCTATTACAAGTTACTGTTCCACTACCTACTACCACATTGTCTGCATCGGCAGGCCCACATGCAGCCTAAAAACCAAATAAAATAGTATTAAAATAATCATTAAGTAAATGCCTTGTAAATGCTGGTTCATGTTATCTCACAGCAAACGAAATATATCAGGAGTATTTTAACCAAAAGAATAACATTAAGATATACAGGTACATGTTGGCAGTCAATTTTGGGCAATACGTACACACACATACAAGCGACAAACCCCTTTCCATCTTAAGCCATCTCTGCTAAAAGGAGACTCTCTTGTACAATATAGACAATATCACAGTCGAAACACGGAGATTTTTCTACAGAGTGATTTTATCAATCAAATCTTGCTTAACTTGCAGGCAAAAACGCTTAAGTGTTTCAGCATACTGTTTCAGATAAGGCAAAACCAATAGTGATATGGTAATAACATCAGTGAAATTGATTCTGTTACATATTCTCAAGTAATGTTGAACAAGTACTTTACTATTTCATCCATAAGTGTTGAGTATTGTCTCGCTTAGCGTCCCGATATTTATTTTTCAATGTGCAGTTTATCGATTCTCAAACCTTGATTTGTCAATTGAAGCCATATGCCGTCACGATGTTACTTTGTTGAGACAAAATGACGTCATGCATTGTTCAGACTGATTACATGAGGTCAACAGAACTGTTGGGAAGCTCCTGTAAATCATCTCTGTAGGGTTGATGTTTCATTTGGGTTTTTTTCATTTTCTTAATGTCAAAGAGAAATATATAAACTTACCTAAAAACTCGGGATAACAGACTATCTGTCAGTTGTGAGGGAATGACGTTATTAAGTCCGAACAAATAACCCCTTAGTTAATATCATAAGTCGTGCAAATGCAGAGATTAAGAAACCTCGAATAATGTAAAATTTATCTGTGAACAATAAGCCTTGTTCTGAAAGTTATATCATTATTGAAAGGTTAGATTGGCATTTTAGAAGTCGGTAACTAGCAAGAAAGACAATATATACTTTATTTTTACTATGATGCTACGCTTTGGCATAGGGTTTAGTTAAGGGTTTTGTCGTCAAACCCGGAAACGTTGCATCAAAATTTGAAAAAAAGGTTGTCATCCATAAAACAATCTTTATTGTCATATCATTTTTATTCATATTTTAGGTAATGGAACAATTGACTTCCCCGAATTCCTTGCCATGATGTCAAAGAAGATGAAGGAAAGTGATGGTGACGAGGAAATACGAGAAGCATTCCGAGTGTTCGACAAGGACGGCAACGGTTTCATCAGTGCAGCTGAGTTGAGGCATGTCATGACAAACTTGGGCGAGAAGTTGACAGATGAGGAAGTAGATGAAATGATCAGGGAAGCTGATCGTGACGGTGATGGACAAGTAAATTATGAAGGTAGGTTACTGCTGATAAGGGATGTATATTCATATTTTTTTTTATATTTGAAAGAGATAATATACTGATTTTTAAAAGACAAATTTCAATGAAATGAATCGAATGATATCATCAGAGAAGCACATACTGATGGTGATGGACAAGACAACAAGGAAGGCATCTTGACACTACAGTTGCCGTTGGGAGAAAAACGTCAGTCACCTAAAATGTATAAGAATATTTTCACAACTGTATGGAATTGGGTGCATTATTGCAATGTTTATTAGCCATAATATACCTCTCGAAGAAGATAAGAAACAGATAAAAATGGAAAGCTGTATTCTTTAACTTTATCTGAGTATTATGCTGATTATGTGTTATTATTTATAGCAAAGAACTGTTTGGGGTATGTAATTAAATAAAATATCAAAACATTATTTCGACTGTGGACCCTGTATTTGTGTTCTTTTTCAGAATTCGTCAAGATGATGATGTCGAAATGAATCAGTGACTTAACCACGTGTTAAGGAACTTCTCAATGGGACACATTCGGAGAGTTGCTGTTGATGATATTTATGATTCCAATTGTTACTGTTGTCGATGTGTTGGATTTCATTAGTTTCTGTTACGGATGTTTAGAGTTGATGTCCATTAGACTGTATCCATGGCGATGTCACTATCAGATTAGGCGAAACTGTATTTCGGCATATGTACAAAAGGCGAGCTATGCAAACATTGACTATAAGGTAAAAATCGTTATGAAACGAACTACACTATATGTACATTGCAAAACCGTCGTCACATATAGTCGCGCCAATAACCTTTCCATATTTGCTCTAGTTCAGCATGTTTGCTGATGTTTTTCAGAATAAACCCTGTATGTTACTGGGTAGCTTTGTTCATTATTAAACTCTTTAAACCGATAGGAGTCCTGTTAGAGTAACGGAAATGTGTAGCCGTGTTGCCGATGTAGCTGAATCAGTATGATTCAAAAGAATAGTGAGTATTCTTTCACGCCGCCTTTGGCAACATTACTGCAACTGCTCGGGACTCCAGAAATGGGAATCGAACGCGGACGAGCGAGCGTTTTGACCACAAGGCCACCACATCGCCGCAGAATAGCAAAAGAAAATTCAAACCTAGGAAGCTTTGAAATATTGGCACTTAAATGCATGATTATGCATGAATGCATGATTATTTCGGACCATTATGTTTACTCTAGTAATTATTCGTTCAGTCATTGATGACCCCTATGTAATAATATACTGGACAAAAATAGTTAGGGATATACTAGTATGTAAATTTAGAAATTATGAATAAAGATCTATTTATTCATTGACACACTGATAAAATATCAATCATAAAAATACCAATATCCCTAACTTATTTTGTCCAGTATATGTTGGATTTTAATCTGTTGAACTTTTCGAACCAGCATTATTCCCCATATGACCTGAGACATTTCAAAAGAGGTGTTTAAAACTAGTATCGAGTGAGCGGGTTAGTATCGAGCCACATTGAACAGTATTTCAGTTATATCAGAACGTGTCAGCTTCATGTAAAAGAAGAATTCTAACTGGTGCAGGTCTTAGATGCTTGACTAGAATCAACGCAGTGAGGAATGCCTTGAATAGTCCATCGTTGAAACGCTTTGGTTCAAATACTGATACCTTTAAAGTGACACTCTCCATTCATTGATGTCTGATATTCCGGTTTAATCAGATATGAGGCCTTTATCCTTTATGCAACTTGCATACATGCATGTTTTTCATATTTATGTTTTACCAACTCCGTCTTTTTAATGTTTAACAAGAAAGAAAAATACTCGAATATGTAATTGTGCATGTAGGTGATTACTTTTTTCTTATTGTTTTGTACACATTATGATAACAGTCGAAATGAGGGAAAGGATCATATACCCCTACAAGGTTACCGAATCTTTATTGTTTAAAACTTTAAATTTCAGGCACAATTGTCTTAGTATGTATTCCGTCCTTTAGACAGAGAAACTGTTCGGTCACTTACGTTCAGTTTCTAAAAGTCAAATCTTTGGAAAAGATGACAAAACACTGCATTTAGTGAAAGAACATCTGTATCAATTAAAATTCAAAACCCACAGAAATATTACCCCTTTCATTTTATGCTCCACCGAGTGAAGTCAAAGGGATCGATGTCTCTATTCAATGTTGTTAGCAACTTAACACAAATAGGCTGTTTATCTGAGCGGGGCGACTCCAGTTGCCAACAGCATACGCGTCCATTGTAACGCTAAGTGAGAAGAGAATGGCTTCCCGAACAGCCTTTCTGGGTTCTTCAATGCACACTTCCCCTTTAACACTTGGCTGAATGTGAAGGTAGTCGAATTTGTCGGTGTATTCTAACATAATCGGTCGGGTCAGTCCGAGGGGAAGGTATAGCGTCGGGGAGCTCGAGGTTTCTTCATATAAAATGGTACGTATGGTACTTTGAAAACGTTATTATGAAGTATATTTTTCAACTTGTTCTCATTGTACTTTTCTCACATGTATGCAATGGTGTATTAGCGTTTGATTGAACCTTCCGAGGCATTTTGTTGTAGTTTATATTCAAACTGAGACTATAAAGGCCTACATTTATTGCAAGCTGCACAGTAAAGAAATCCCTTTATGGTTTAATTTCAATGGTATGAGTTTTGCTTGGGGTATTTTTAGGGAGTGGGTATCATTTTAGTTTTCTGTGTCAATCCTTGACTCATATCAATTGTATAATCTATATTTCATGTTAAGCTGGATGATTTGAAGATGTGGAACATGGCGGTTTATTTTCGGTGCTGTTGATTAATTGAGAGTGTTTTCGTTTGCATTTCAAGGCTGATCAACAAACCCAGTTAACAGAAGAACAGATAGCTGGTAGGTTGTCACTCCCTTGCTCTTAATCACAAAATTTAAAAATCTGAATTCAAAATGAACCGGTTTGCAGGCAGTTACATTCAAAATCTACACCGTGAGACGGCTTGCTCAGTAGGCATGACTATCTTCTACTGATTTAGGCTTCTCATTTTGTGTCTATTTGTTTGCAGAGTTCAAAGAGGCATTCAGCCTTTTCGACAAAGACGGCGATGGCACCATCACAACCAAAGAGTTGGGAACCGTCATGAGGTCACTAGGTCAGAACCCAACAGAGGCAGAGTTGCAAGACATGATCAACGAAGTAGATGCTGATGGTGAGTGTATTTATCTCGATGGTGCATGTCATACGGCAAAAAGAAGAAGAATTTGAATATACAATGCATAGTTACGCATATGAACATTGCATCATTTTGCACTAAAATGTGATAGTGGCGCTGCAAAGCATTAGTCTAGTTCACGAATGCTTCACCGGCCTCCCGTTAATTACCCGAAACCATCTGTTTGCAGCCAAGAAAAGCTGTAATTCCATTTTTGTTACAGTTTGCAGCAAACGTGATAATTCCAATAATAACTAAGACTTTACACATTTTATGTGTCAGGACAAGTGATTTGTTATGCATGAATTTGTCTGACTATTCCCATTCCCTTGTTCCAAGGCAACGGTACCATAGATTTCCCCGAATTCCTTACCATGATGTCCAAGAAGATGGGCAACAACGATTCAGATGAGGAACTTAGGGAAGCTTTCCGGGTCTTCGACAAAGACGGCAACGGTTTCATCAGTGCAGCCGAGTTGAGGCATGTCATGACAAACTTGGGCGAGAAGTTGACGGATGAGGAAGTAGATGAAATGATCAAGGAGGCAGATATTGATGGTGACGGACAAGTAAATTATGAAGGTAGGTTAAATTCATGGTGGACATGCATGTCTAACATGTAGAAATAAATGATTAAATTTCGACAATACAGCTTTGGTTGTACCATGTGTTTGTTCATACCATTTATGAATGAATATGTGTATTAAGCATCAGAGAATTAACTTAAGTCAATACTTTTAACACAATATCAATATTATGAACATTCTGAATTTCAGAATTCGTTAAGATGATGTGCAATAAGTGATGAAGCGGTTGTACAGGGATGGATTCGTGGTGTACATTCTATTAACCGAAGAAGGCAGCAGTGTCATCGTGGCCCTAGGCAGATTCACATAGATCATGAACACTGTGACCCAGTGTCTTGTGTGAAGACCTCGGGCCTACACCAGCAGACTGTTCTGATTAGTACATATGCATAACCAGTATTACCTACTGTAATTATGATGGAATAAAGGTTTTTATCAAAATGCTTAAATATTGATTCTACCATTCATGTGGTTTCCAAATGAGGAATTTTATGAGTAATGCTGCACTCAAAGCCATCTTCACGGATGTCGGTGTTAAACTGAATGAATTGTATATTTACTGACCGATACCATGCACATATCATGTAAGAGCCGGCCAACGGGATCGCATCCTAATTGTGTAGATCGGTGCTCATGCTGTTGAGCACTGGATTGTCTGGTCCAGACTCGATTATTTACAGACCGCCGCCATATAGCTGGAATATTGCTGAGTGCGGCGTAAAACTAAACTCACTCAGTCACTCTACAGTTGTTACGACTTAAATGTTGAATATTCTGTTTTCTTAACAGTCAGAGAAAGTATTTCCGTGGCCAAGTTTACAATGGCCTTTCTTTCACCCACGACAAATACTTGTGAGTGAGTAAAGCTTTACGCCCCTTTTAGCAATATTCCAGCAGCATCATGGAAAATTACACCAAAATGGGCTTCGCATATCGTAGCAATGTATGGAATCGACCACGTGTATTCAGTGTGACTAGCGAACGCTTTAACCACTGTGCTACCTAACTGGCCCCATTAGAACTTGTCGAAATTTCCTCTTTCATCACTGTATTAAATAGTCTAATTTTATTTCCATTATGTTGGGGCCCCTGTCATATTTAAACAACTATGCCATTAAATACCAGGTGTTGCAACGTTTACATAGATTGAAACACTTATACACTATCTCTATCATCACTGAAGGCCAGCCTTGTAATTGAAGCGCTCGGCATGGGTTCAGCCCTCCATATTCCCGTTGTAATATGGCTGGAACATTGCTACAATAGGCTAAAACCATCCCCTTTGCTTAAAGGGGCTAAAACTATTCTGTCTCATCCGACTATAATCACAGGATGTCATAGTCTTGAACCTGTATATTCGTGTGTGTCGGACATTACTGCTGAGCTATTTCTCGATTGTACAACACGGACTATAACATGGTCATGTGTGAATGAATCACCATCAAGTAGTGACTATACAAGATTTTCTCAATGAGGTGAGTCTATTCTGCTTAACTGGTCACTTACACATAAAAAAAAAAAAGCAATTCAAATATTCGCCTGAAAATGCAAAACAAATCGAAAAACTTTAAGAAAATAAGAACATAAAACAACAATACAAAACAATCAAAACAAAATAAATAGAAACACAGACGTTAGGTGAAATTGGGTTTAACGTGGTGCTGGAGAATATTTCGCTCATATGACGACGTGCATGCGTGTGTATGTGTGTGTACTAGTAAGAAAGTAAGATTGTTTATGGATAACAACTTCTTTATTAGAAGAACTAGCCCCGACTGAAGTTGGTTACCTTGCCGCAGTGAAGCATGAATACCCCTCTCAGACACAGTATACTGACTCCGAGCCGACCAGTCCTTGTTGTACCCATTAATGCCGAGCGCCAGGCAGGGACGAACAAGTACCATATTTTAACGTCTTTTGGTATGACGCGGTCGGGGATCGAACCCGCGACCTTCCTTCTCCCCGGGCGGACGCTCTAACCACTACACCACGGAGGCGGTCCAGAAACACAGAAACATGGGAACATAAGAAAGTGCTTCGGGCATAAAGTTTATCATTTTGGCGTTAAAAGGAGAAATGTCCTTCTCATGTCAATCATGAAAGTTTCTGAAGCTTTACTGAGGTACTGCATCTTAAACCCTGAATAAACAGCTTTTGTGCAAAGATTATTTGCGGTAAGGCATTAGAGGGTATTTTGACGGTTAGAACGGTGTTATGAATGGGGTTTCAATTCAAGCTAATAAAAGGATGGCCTCGAATGAACAGTCAGGAACATTTGTGTAGAATTGTGATGTTTCGAACTTAAGGTTGTCACAAAGTAAGAGCTTTGTTCCTTCGTATTCTTTCTTTAATAATTTTTCTCCAAATATTTATTAGGTCCCTTGACCTTCAACACATCCGTGTTTGACTGTATCTCTATTGTGAAGGGTTCATTGATTACTCGCTACAGTGGCTCCAGAGAGTGGAACTCGGTCGGTCTTTAGTAATTTTCTAATGGAACTATAAATATACACTTCTTAAACAACATTTGTTGTTTTCTCACCAGTTTGCCACACATAACAAAAGGTACGATACAAGTATGTACAACATATAAACGGTAGGTACAATAAAATCTCACGGGAACATCTGTCACTGCCCATAGCGACCATCTCGCTCGAATTGGTATCCTATGTCAAAGAAGACCTTTGTAAAGATGTCACATGCCTATCAATACGGTAAGTAAGCGCTTATTGGAATCTATAGACGCCTTTCAATGGTTAAAAGAGCTGTTACTGTTAGTTTGTATCACAATAACAATAACACAGTCACCTTAAATAGACAATCTTCCGTCACTCTCTCATGTAGGTCACCGAAGGCAAGATAGATATATGTGATCTGAAGGCCTCCAGAAGCACCACCATGGTAAGCTTGTTTGTATGTCTTTGATTTATGAACCCGTGGATATTCCAGATCATGCTTGCTACCCAGTAATCTTTGTTTGTAGAAAGATGAAACCATGTGGTAGGATTTGGTGATTGATTGGGGTGTTCCCTGACGTCACAGGATGTTCAGAACATCAACCAAGAGCTGCTGCGGTCTAGATTCGATTATTTACATAGCTGAAATATAGCTGTCTTGTCTCACAATAACAAATAGTTTAATGTGACAAGGATCTAGACAGAACAACCTAATTTTCGCATACCATCTTTATTTAATTTCTTATTTGTTTGAAAATATTAACATTTCAATTTTAACAGACGTTTTGTGTGAAATAAGTTTACTTTAGATGAGGCGCCGCATTATAGACATGTGTTTTCTTGCTTTCTGCAATGTTTAATTACACTTCGTTAGTGACGTGGATAAGTTATGTGGATCATGTATCGTTTTATTCATGTGCTTATCCTCGATATTGATATTGATCTATTTCTAAACTTGTGTGTAATATTTTTCAGGCTGAGCATTTAACAGAGGAACAGATTGCAGGTACAGCTTTACATTGTTATTACACAATCGGATTGTTAAGGTGATGATGTATTTTATTCGATTATAGTTTCACAGCATTTTCAATTTGTCATTTAGCCCCTACCTCTGGTTTCAATATGCATGATAACACTCTACTTTACACACTATTTTACAGAGACGCACACATACAGACACATACAGACATAAACACTGATTTAGTCATACAATTACAGACATTCAATGCTTTCACTTACAGCGGGATCTCTCTTCTATTCTACTGCTCACCTTTTTATTTGCAATGTTATATGTTAGCTATACAAAGACGCGATTGTATTTTAACACCTTTGATATTTTAAAGAAATAAATATTACATCAGGATTGGAAGCTTACGTTTGTATGAAACCTCAAAGTGATGTTTGCCTTTGATGAAAAGAGTATTTTTCCTAATAAAACCGCCAACTATAACCACAGCCAACCTGGTATTCAAACCCATGATCACAATTCTGGACCCTGGAACTCTGCATACTGGATTAAGGAATCTTGGACGAGTGTCCCTTTCCCTCTACGACGTATAACCGTTGTGAAAACAGTTCATTATATAACGCATGCATATTCCAGAGTTTCAGGAGGCCTTCGGACTGTTTGATAAAGACGGGGATGGCAGCATCACCACGATTGAACTGGGGATCGTGATGAGGTCTCTCGGGCAGAATCCCACAGAGGCAGAGCTTCAGGACATGATCAACGAGGTGGACGCTGATGGTGAGTCCACCGTCACATACGTTCACGTCATTTACAACTTCATCAGATACGTCTCGTAACATCAGAACTATTGGATGTCAGGATTGGCAGAATTCATTATCGTTTTTATTATTTGTCTTTCTAAAGTTGAGGATCGTGTTTGTACTTGTACATGGATATTTTGTTGAAGAAGATGATATTTAGGGATTTAAATCAAATACTTAAAACAATTCAAAATATATTTTAAAATATAGCAAATAATATTCTTACTCTCAATATAAATTAGTTAATGTAAGAATCAAACCCAATGCATATATACTCTCCCAAAAAAGAAACGCATATAGGAATTTCGACTGTATTTTTATGTTTATTTTGAAACATCTTGTAGGCTTTATGAGTCAATGAAATATAGCGAAATTGCACACTGGGGATGCAGACTTATCCGTCTTTGGCACCAACCCGAGGAAAGTCAGTCTGAGTGTCACATGGAGACATGTGGTGGCGCTGAAGTCAATACCTCGTGTCACCACCGTGGGCATCCAGAACTGCACGGCATCGCCTCGGCATCGAACGAATAAGTCTCAGAATCTCGTGTTGCCCAATCGCAGCCCACTCTGCCTGTAGTGCCTGTGCGAGTTGCTGAAGCGTCTGGGGCTGAGGGTTACGGCGTCGCACCCGTCTGTCGAGGGCATCCCACAGATGTTCGATCGGGTTTAAGTCCGGTGATCTTGAGGGGTGTACATTGATGTTGTGGTTCTGGAGGAAGTCTCTAGTGTGACGTGCTGTGTGGGGCCTGGCATTGTCCTGTTGAAACAATTCCCTCTGGCGATCAATGATTGGAAGGAGGTGTGGGCGTAGGATTTCGTCACAGTACCGTTGAGCTGTCAGGTTGCCCTGGATCATCACCATATCACTTCTCCTACGGCAGGTGATCGCTCCCCAGATCATAACACTTCCCCCGCCGAATCTGTCCACCTGGGGAACGCAAGCGTCGGCGAAACGTTCACGTCGATGTCTGTACACCCGCATTCTTCCATCGCGTCGTTACAATAGAAATCTTGATTCATCACTGAACCAGATTCTACGCCAATTCGGTAGGTTCCAGGCCTGAACGTTGGTGCACCATTGAACTCGATGTCGACGATGTTGTTGTCGAAGCACAGGGCCAAAATAAGGTCTTCTGGCACGTAACCAGCCTCTCTCAACCTGTTCCTGACGGTCTGTGCAGAAAGCCTCCTCAATCCGGGTATTTGTCGAGCGGTACTGGTCGCCGTCGCTGTTCGATGACGCAGGTGATGTACCCGGATGTAGCGATCCTGCGCCGCAGTGGTCGCTCGAGGTCGCCCACTACGAGGGGCATCTGCTACCGAATTCTGCCGGCGATATCCCTCCCAGAGCCGTGAAATGGTGCTTTGGTGAACATTCATGCGTCGGGCAACTGCACGGTGAGACTGGCCAGCTTCAAGCAAACCAATGGCGATATGACGGTTTGCTTCACTTAGACGTGGCATTTTGCGTTCGTCAACAATATTCCAAATACAGTGAATAATCGACAGACAGCGATCAACCTTTAATACCCATCATTGAGACTATCTGATCCCCAACTTTCACGTGCATTGCATGTGAATTGTGTATTCTGTGACACTACACGTCGAAATTGAAAATCATGCTTTTAAATACGGGTATTTTACGGATGGTGCGTTTTGTTGTGAGTTTTCAAAACATAAACACCATAGGACTCATAAACAGAGCAAAACCTTTCGTAAAATGAATCACTTTTTAATTCATTGCTACATGAAATTGCTATTTCCATGATGCATTTCTTTTTTCGGAGAGTATATATACTGTAGCCCATGCCAATACTGTAAGTTTATGAATGAGCATAACTTGAATGTACTTGATTGTTTATCTGTGTGACGACCACTAACTCACACGCACGCACGCGCATCTAATTGTGCTTCAGTATTAATAGATCAAATGGACAAGTTTATTCGATACGTATGAAATCATTATTGTATATCAAACGTTTCCTTTATGTGAGTAGAGGAAGCTCCCCTTTAACATCTTGTGCTAATGTTCCTGCAGGAAACGGCAACATCGATTTCCCGGAGTTCCTGACAATGATGCAGAAAAAATTGAGCTCCAGATCGGACTCCGAGGAGGAAGTGAGGGAGGCCTTCAAAGTGTTCGACAAGGACTGTAACGGGTTCATCTCCGCCTCTGACCTCAAACAGGTGATGAATAACCTTGGAGAGAAGCTGACCGATGAAGACATCAATGAGATGATCAAAGAAGCCGACCATGATGGTGATGGTCAGGTTAACTATGAAGGTACGCCAGGTGGCCATGGTTACATATACTGTTCGAAATATTTAGGGAACACACTTATTTTCAGATCAACACTGCAGAAGAGACAGAATGTGGTGTATATTGAAGCTACGGTGGTGTTAATGGTGTGATACATACTACTCAACTTTGAATACAGTTATTTGAAGTATTAACTGAGAAAAAGAGGAACTGATGCCATGCTGTATATTTACAGAATTTGAGAATACAGCTTATGAACACCAAATTTATTTTCTGTTTGTTTAAATGAGATTTCCACAAACAAATATATCGTTTCAACAGCGAAGATGACAATTTCGCATGGTATGTTTTCTTATATTTGCGATAATACCTAAGATCCAGAGACAATGCTTTTGCTATTCGTGAGGGTGGAGTACACTAAACGCCAAAAGAAACGTTACCCTCCTTCCTAATGACGGGGTAACCTATCTTCAGCTGGCGTTCTGATGCGTGGACGTCCATTTCTTGGTCTGTCTACGGTGACCCCAGTCTGTCTGAAGCCCTGAATAAGTATTATAACCGTGATACGGTGGCATCCGAGGGCGTTGGCAACAGCATTGTATGTCGACCCCATCTGCACCATCCCAATGGCTCTTTCTCTCTCTTCAGCTGTTAATTGTGGCATATTTCTCGTACCTGTGTATCATATCATGTATTCTAGGCTCTCTTCATACCCTATAGAATCATTCTACATGTGAAATGGAGGCAAATACTGCTTGAATATTGCTGCGTTTTGGCGATTGATATTGCTATGTGTAAACAGAAAATGGAAAAATGTTACTTTTGCAAGCAAACATGTTAACAAAGATAATTTTAGATGTTCCTAAACATTTTCTCACAATATCAAAGACACGTTTTACTTGTTTTCACTAATGCAAATCAGCAGAAAATGTTTTAAAAGACCGAAATCATAGGAATGATTATTTTACAATTTTACACACTCTACAACAGTCGTTTCTTGTTTTAATAGTTGAAAAATGGTGACTTTATATGGTTTATCTTTGTCCCAAAGCAGAATTTTATTTCAACCTTTCTTTTGTACATCTAAATTACTGTTATTGGTTTATTTCGGCATGGACGAAAATAAGACAATTTAACTCTTCTGAAAAAGATGCATTTCACCTAAATAAGAATGCATTTGAGAATGTTTTTTCGCGATTCGCATAAAGCTGTGTTGTTAAGCTTTCTTGTACACTAATACCTTCTAACATATCTTGGATAGTTTCTAAGTAATTCATAAAGGTAGGAGGGTAACGTTTCGTTTGGCGCTTAGTGTTCATTAGCCGACTTCGTTACATCGAGTAATCACATGATAATATAGACTCGTGAAGATCTTAGAACTGGTTTTCAGCAACCCATCCTTGTAGTAATGGGATCGGGTGGTCAGGCCCGCTGACTTTGTTAACCACATGCAATCTTATCCGAATTTCGTAGATCAATGCTCATGATGTTGATCACAAGATTGTTTGGTGAAGATTCGTTTGTTTACAGACCGCCGCCATATAGCTGGGATATTGCTGAGTGCGGCGTGAAACAACAAAGTAAATAAAAAGGTCTCGAAAGACGATGTATTATCATATCATCCAAGACACTACTGCAGATCAAGAGACACTCTGGTCCAGACTGGATTATTTACAGTCCGCCGTCATATAGCTGGGATATTGCTGAGTGCGGCGTAAAACAACAAACAAACAAAAATGACAATATGCAGCTTCTACTGTTTGCAGAGTTTGTGATGACAATGCTGATCAAGTGACGACACAGCAGGGAGCGTATGGACCTGAAGATGAGGCTGAGGCACAGAGATGCTGTACAATATGGCAATATGGCGGACTCCAGGCACATTTGACGTCACGAGCGGAAAGGTCACGTGGGTTCCAGCGAAATATGCATAACGGCCGAAGCTGAGATTTACAGAAACTGTTTTCGCGATTAAATCATAATTATACATAAGTTTTAATTGAAAATTTGGGAATATGTTTCTGATGACTTTATCTTTCACCCAGCAAATTATTGCAATCCACACGTATTCTCCTTTAAGGGAACTGTCCTTACATGTTTGTAGCTTGTACACAGACAGCAATAATGCTGACACTGAAACTGATGCGGGATGGACTTGAATAACGTGCTGTATGCTGCTTCTGACGGCGGCCTTGGGTGTTGAAGTGATCTTGGGTTTTGGGAAGTAATGTGTCACGGTTGATATTTCTCAATAGAATAAAGAGGTCATGCGAGTGTTCATCAAGCGTTTGTTGCAGCTGTGCGCAGGTCTTCTGCTTGGTTCGTTTTCAGTGTTGTCATTCAGTAAACTACATCTCCGTCTAGTCTTGATAAAGGCGATTGTCTGATGTATTACCTTATCGACATGGCACGAAAACCTGTGTATGTTTTTTGCTTTGGTGAATATACACTACCCATCAAAAGTTTAGACTCACCTGAAGCACTCATGCATAATGCTTACATGGATGAATTTCTCCACTAACTTGGAGGAACTAACCGCAAACCTCATGCAGATGAATTGCACAAGGATCATGCATCAAATTGCTGAAAAACATGTGTAAATATCGTGCATGTGCGTTTTGGTGTAAAGTTTTGTTAAGAATTTGCCAATTTTTACTGAGCCTCTCATATAAAAGATAGAGTCCAGATATTCGTGCTTGTCAAAGCTCCTAAATATGTACAGGGGCGGTGGGGTACCCTAGTGGGTTTATATCGCTCGCTCGTCCATATTAATTGAATCCCATTTCTGGTGTCCCCCGCCGTGATATTGCTGGAATATTGATAAAAGCGGCGTAAAACCATATTCACTCACTCACTCACTCATTTACAAGTAACTGTCGGACTGCATCTCGCTGTCACATGTTTCGTCTCGTACATGGTTACAGTTAGTTGCAGGTTCCATGTAAGTTTAATCTTAAAATCTAAATCAGAACCAGAAAAAGTAAAGAGAAGTTTTTGTTTCAGTGTTAAATTCCTTTATGAGTAATGCACCTGATTAAACTGTCCATGAGGTGGTAACAAGGAGTGAGTGAGTGACTGAGTTTGGTTTTACGCCGCTTTTAGCAATATTCCAGCAATATCACGGAGGGGGACACCAGAAATGGGCTTCACACATTGTACCCATGTGGGGAATCGAACCCAGGTCTTCGGCGTGACAAGCGAACGCTTTAACCACTTGGCTACTCCGCCGCCACTAGGTGGTAACAAGGATGTATGTGAGCATACAATCTATACGTACACTATACCCATATGGTATTATATGTAGTATTTTGTATCACAAAGTATAAGATGGCTATGTAACAAATGTACATTGTGCAACATAATTTATCGAGATGATAGCCAAATAGAACTGACTGCTAGAGGGATAGACTGTACGTGTAAATACATATAGCTGTTTGTCGTAAATGTTGTTATGTGCTGGTACCGATCATTATTGAATTGTATAGTTTTAACAGACCTCTAAGAAGAATAAATGTGCTTGCAACTCGTGCACCATTGAACGTCTCCCAAGTGTTCGATGCGAGATGGGGGCGGTGGGGTAGCCTAATGGTTAAAGCGTTGGCTCGTCACGCCGAAGACCCGGGTTCGAATCCCCACATGGGTACAATGTGTGAAGCCCATTTCTGGTATCCCGCCCGTGATGTTGCTGGAATATTGCTAAAAGCGGCGTAAAACCAAACTCAGTCAGTCAGTCGATGCGAGATAGCAGTTAATGTACCATCTACCTGTACTTTATTGGATCAAGATACTCTTGTTCATGGACTGTCCATAAAATACTGCTTATCCTTGATAGGGATAATCTGAGGCAAGGGGAGGTAAATATGAATGATCTTTGACACAGACTCAGTATTGACATGGCTACACATATATTTTATTAAACTCTCTCTTAAGCCGTTGTTTTAAATCTAATAGAATGAAATATCTCAGTATTCTTATAAAGGTTGAGGAGTAATAATGAAATGATGCAACATGAGGCATCATCAAACTCTGTATACATGATAATAATAACTTTGTACAGATACTCTCAACACAAAACGTAAACAGTAAAATCAAGAAACACAGACCGTGGAAACGGTTCGTGGAATATCGAGTCAGTAAACGTAATGCAGTATCCTATTGAAACACATTCACTCCTGATCGGAATTTTCCGGGCACGTGTTTTATCAAGTTACCTGTGTTCAATGTACCCCCCTTCCCATTTGCCGCTGCGATTTCTCATTAAACGCAGTACACCTCCTGCCTAAATGCGGGTCACCGCTGTCGCACTGCGACAACCACTGCGACAGAACAGGTAGTGAAAATAACACACTTGTGTGACGGTGTGTGTCGCAGTGAAGGCTAATGACGCAGGTGGGCAACCTGGTTTACAGGGATACCTTATAGGCAGGTACGGGGACCCTTGCCATTGGCGGGGCAACGAGGAATGACGTAGGTTACCCGACATGCCCTGCGAGAGGGTATTAGCCTTAAGTTGTTATTTGATAGTACGGGTGGTTCACTTTTGGCAGTGTGGTTTTGATTCATTACGTGAAGTCAATTCACCTAAAGCTGGTTATAGGTTTTTAAAGGCTTTAACTCAAGTTAATCATGAATCTATATTGACTGGTATAAACAGCTGAAAGTATGCACTATGATAAAGAAAACCCATGCACATTGCAAAAGGAGTGAATGAGTATGGTTTTACGCCGCATTTAGCAATATTCCAGTAATATCATACTTGGGACACCAGAAATTGGCTTCACACATTGCACCTATGTGGGGAATCGAACCCTAGTCTTCCTGACAACGCTTAAACCACTAGGCTACCGCCCTGCAAAAGGAAATATACACTGATGTTTCACAGCGGCTAAAGGTGAAACGGCTGGAGATGTATTTGATACAGATAGCAAAGTTGTGTATTGCATTTTTTCGACAACTGTTTTCAGACTATTAACCTTTGTATGACGTTTGACAGTTTTTGGTCAAGACCTGTTTTCTAGTGTATACGTTTTTCCCTGGCAGTTTATAGTGAAAATGTGGTCACCTGATTGTCTGGTCCAGACTCGATTATTCAAAGACCGTCACCATATAGCTGGAATGTTGCTGGGTGCGGCGTAAAACTAAACGCACTCACTGTGATAACATGGTTCCCATATCCACTGATTTCCGTGTGTGTGGCATTCATACTGCCATCCATGTGTCCCATACACACCTGTAATCAATATCTGGAAATTAATCAACAAAATGATGCATCAGACCCCGTTAATCAGGAACAAACGCCAACGGGATTATTGAAGCTTGGACTGACTGCCTGAGTTTGGTTTTACGCCGCTTTTAGCAATATTCCAGCAACATCACGGCGGGGGACGCCAGAAATGGGCTTAAGATTGAAGCTTGGAACGTTTTCAGAATTGGCAAGGATGTTATTGCATGAGGCTATATTTTCAAATCCAGATATTTGATAATCTGTAAACTATCTCTGCATACGATAATGCCCGATATGGTTTTAACTACTGATATTATACCTTGATTATTAGTTATTACAATATTAACCAGTACGTACATTGTCATACTTTTGTTAACTTTCAACTTTCCACAATACTTTCTTTGCAACAACTGACTGAATATCGTATACTTTCACCATATCAATGTCAAGTATCTTCGGACCAGTGTGAATGTCACGTCCAGACTCGATTATTTACAAGCCGCGCCTTAAGGGTTAAATATACATGGTCCGGTGATACACAACACAAAAACTAAATTGATTGTTTTTCGGGGTACCGACACACATATTACACATATATGACTACGCTGTATCCAATAAAAGGGTTTTACAATTAAATACAAATAGTTTACTCTGCCAGAAAATGTTTTGTTCCTAATTCGTTTGTTTGTTTGTTTCTATAACGCCACACCCAGCAATATTCCAGCTACATGGCGATATCATTAATATAATTGTTTCTACTGAAATATTTCAATGCTGCACTTACTGAAATGGTCTACATCAGACGAAGAGGGTGAATGTTTTGAAGCATGTATCCGGACATGCATGTAATTGAATTCAGTATTTATATGCCATTAGTATCTTATATGCCTGTATAAATATCTTATTGTGTCTCGTAGTACAAAAAGTAATTCCATTAAGGAGAGACTTGTATAGCGTGTACACAATCCCACAGTTGTCTCAAGTAATGAATTAGTGCATGCAGCCTTCACCCCAGGGTCAAGGCTGACACGGCCATTCAGGGTTCGTGTTTCTTCAGATGACTGATGTAGTTTTCAAACGTTGATATCTAACTTAACCACTAGGGCTGTGTAATCACAACGGGAAACATCAGTTGTGAATGAAATGAATCTGTTTCGTCTTATAATCGAGACTAGTTGTTTTCTGACATTGACGTTTGACGTCTGTATTTACATCACATTCACTGTTGAACACGCCCTCGCGGCATGCAAGATGCCTACAGTGATCTGTCTGTAAAGACATCGTCTGGATTGCATAGTTGCCACATGTTACCTTAGAGTCAAAACATATTCACTTACACATAATCCGATACTTATTGTCTTTGTATTCCTGTAATAATTGTTATACATCGTTACCTATAATGGTTATATTTACCCAACAACATATATTACTTACAAGACATATTGAAGATCTATATTCTCAGGATTTGTTAATGTTTCACGATTGAATTAAAAACTTGTATTTGGCTAGACAATACCTTGTTTACTGAGAAAATGTAATCCCAAATATATATTACATATATTAAATACCTTGTTGATTTATCACGACTAAAACATAACTTAATATTATCAGATATTCTCAAGTGCAGTTAATATTTAATATTTCCAGTTTCATTTAAAATATTTTATGTGGCTAAACAATGACGTTATAATTTCTCACGGCTAAAAGACAGCTTGATATTCTCAGGTTCCACAGTCCCACGTGGTAGCCCTTCAAACAGGAATCCAGGCCTTTGGTATTGACGAAACTGTCACCTTGAGACACCATTGTCATTTATTACGAGTATTCAATACGCTATATAATTCCTTTATGACATATGACAGATCAAAGATACTAATCTATCAATAATCAAAAATACACCCTGAGAACCTCACATCCCCCAACAATATAAACCATCACATACACCCAAAAACGATACGATATGGGTGATAATCGCAATACGTTAATACACAGAAAGGGTCACACAATAAGAAAAGAACGACTTTCTCATGCTGTGTTTCGACACCAAACAGGGCCAATTGTTGGGTCTAGGGGCGAATTCTTTCTATTGAATTCCATGTTGCTAGCTGTATTACAGCGTGCGTTTGGTATTACAATGCTCGATATAAACAGTGAATGTTCCAGGCTCGATGTTTTGTGGTCTAACGTGTAACTAGGAGGACTACCATATTTACATGCTTACCTGATTTTGAGAACATATATTAAACATGGTAAGTATACATGTCGTGAATGATTTCTTTAAGAATTAATACTTGTATAAGATTTCAATACTCTTAAGTGCGTATGAATGCATGCTTAGGAACTCATTCGTGTATTCTGTTGTACTCTATCAACCATGGAATTGCAGACTGTAATTGTACGCATTTTAATGTTGAAAGATATATTATATATCCCGTTATGTACCAACCAATGCCATGATGCAGATTTAATTGAAACCAATAGAGTGTTCATTTGTTATTGTTTTGCTACATGAAATGTGATATGATGACTGATTAAAGGGGAGGTAATTCAGATTATCTCTAATGCTATTTTGGTATGATAATCTAATCAAACACGATTTTATGAGTTATAGTTGGACCACTTCGGTTGTCAACATTGTCTCTGTGCTTCAATTGTGTTGACAAAAATGCCGGAGTTTCATGTCCGTGCTCAAGTGTCTAGATCCTAATATTTATTATTTTGGGTTAACAGTCCGTCTCAGTTTGCCACCTGAGTCTGCTTGATTCAAGAACGAGTGTGCAGTTGGATAGGAAATATGCAGGCACGCTGGAAATAATTTCATTTCTCGTTTAGCCATAATTCATTGTAATTCACATGTCTATGCCAATGCTATGATACTAAAATGCTTTCATTTATATTTTTAAGGTTGAAAATCTCACCGATGAGCAGATTTCAGGTTAGTACCATATCTTCATTGTTTGATAGCCAAAGCCTTTAACACATGGTGTCATCACTTGTGTTTAATGACCCGCCATGTTATTTCCATCACTATTTTGTCTTTTACGCCCATTGGAGTCCATTTTTTCGGTTAATCGAGACTGATTATTCTCTGGTGTTGGCGTTTTATATTACCGTTTTATATTACCGTAAAGTTTTATATTACCGTAAAGTTGGGAAACTTTCTCCCCATACAATGAAAAAAAGGCCAAAGGTATCGGCCAATATGGTTTTCTTATTGACATGTTCAGTAGATTGTTGAGTTATAATTGATCACGTCTGGGCTGATGGAACACATATTACCTGGTGAGGTGAGGTGAAATTGGGTTTTACGTCGTGCTTGAGAATATTTCGCTCATATGACGACGTGCATGCGTGTGTATGTGTATGTGCGGCTGCTTGTACTAACCCAGACTTAAGCTGGTTTTATAGTGCTAGCCCACTGAGATACCATGCCGCAGTGAAGCATGAATACCCCACTCAGACACATTATACTGACTCCGAGCCGACCAGTCCTTGTTGTACCCATTAATGCCATATTTTAACGTCTTTTGGTTTACATATTGCCTGGAGCGAATGAATGAATGAATGAATGAATGAATGAATGTCTTTATTTCCTTACTGGGTGTTGAATGAACAAATGAATGAATGAATAAATGATTGTCTTTATTCCCTCCCTGGTTGTTTAATAATGAATGAATGGGTGAATGAATGTCTTTATTTCTTCCCTGTTTGTTGAATGAATGAATGGATGTTTCCATTTCCTCCACGTTTGTATTATATGTACAATAAACACAGTTACATATATGTATGTTGTTCCCCAGAGTTCAAGCAATGCTTTGCTCATATGGACAAAGATGGTGATGGGATGATCACAACCAAAGAGTTGGGCATCGTGATGAGGTCACTAGGTCAGAACCCAACAGAGGCAGAGTTGCAAGACATGATCAACGAAGTTGATGCTGATGGTGAGAGGTTTACATCACTTTTCTGAAATCGTGTGAATGCTGGGTGGTACAGGTGGAGTAGAACATGCTTGTCCGTTTCGCGGCAACACCTGGTGCCGTCACTGCATTCTAGTGATAGATTCGTACACGTTTTATGCACGTATTTACCTCGCTGCAAGAGATGCAAATTCACTCACTCACTCACTCACTCACTCACTCACTCACTCACTCACTCACTCACTCACTCACTCACTCACTCACTCACTCACTCACTCACTCACTCACTCACTCACTCACTCACTCACTCACTCACTCTGACAAAAAACACCTGTATATTACAATGTCCAATCTTCTTGTCAAATCTGTTTCGACAGATAATCGAGACGATTTATCCTGAAAAAAGACCCTGTGCATTGAAAAAGACCCCGTTCATTTGTGTCCATAATCATCTTACCTGATAGATAAGACGTAAACATCACTGATAGTTGAGTTGGAAAGCAGAAACGTTTAGTTCTTAATCATTAGCGATCAGCCCTGACTTTAAGTTTGGCTCTAGGGCACGCTTTATTTCGTTGCTAGGAAACGGAACGATTGATTTTGATGAGTTTCTGACGATGATGTGTCGACGTTTAAACACTTATGACGAAGAGAGTGAGCTCAGAGAGGCGTTTGACGTATTCGACAAAGATGGCGACGGTCGGATTTCCGTCGAAGAACTGCAGATTACCATGAGAGAGCTTGGAAACGTTATAAAAGACGAAGATATTCAAGCCATGATCACTCTCGCAGATATCGACGGGGACGGGAAGGTCAATTTTATAGGTAAGAGAAAAGCATTTCTATAGTGTTTGATGATTAATGTTGATAGATACTTGATCCTTAAGGTATAACATTTTATACTAAATATTTAAATCGGAATTTCAGCTTAAAAAAATAATATATTAGCAATGGTCTTGTTCTGAGAAAGTGAGTGTTGCTCTTTCGCCATGAACCTATGTTGGGAATTAAACCTAGTCTTCGGTAGTAGCGAACGCTTTGACCACTAGGCTATCCCGAATCTCCTTGTCCTATGGCTCTGTTTATATGTTTGCTTTGTCCGAAATACTATTTACATGATCTCTGACGTCAACAATAATGTGAGATTGCAATTGTTGTTGTGTAACCTTCGCTAAATATTGTTTGGCCAGGGTTACAATCTTCAAGGCCTTGGTAAAGCATTAAGAAATATTGTTCAGGTTGATTGATGTGTAGAAGGTATTAAACATGCTAATGGATTATTGATCTTAACGATGCCCGATACAAATCCTATCTTGACTTATACAATTTACTTTGTTGATCCTCATGTTGGTTAATATTAGCAGTTGACGTGCCATTGCATGAATTTGTGACCATGTGCTACAGGTTGGGTAGGATACGCATACATTTTCGTGAATACCTCTTATCACAACTATCTGATAGAGACTTACATGAAATTCCTCATTAAGAAAACGTGTTATATTGTTATATTTGTATAATGGATACTAGGGATTCGATTCATGGTAACTCCATGATTGAGGGGAAAAGCTTCGCATGAACCAAATCAGTAATTTAGTGAACTGTTTGGACCGTTGTGTTAACTATAGAGTCAAAGTATGTCTGGAAGAACTATTAGGTTACCTGGTAGTGCAGGTACTAGCTCCTTACTGTTTTAGTTCTCAATGCATAGTGAATATTCACCTGGGTACCTGGTAGTGCAGGTACCAACTCCTTACTGTTTTAGTTCTCAATGCATAGTGAATATTCACCTGGTTACCTGGTAGTGAAGGTGCTAGCTCCTTACTGTTTTAGTTCTCAATAGATAGTGAATATTCACATGGGTACCTGGTAGTGAAGATGTCAACTCCTTACTGTTTTAGTTCTCAATGGATAGTGAATATTCACCTGGTTACCTGGTAGTGAAGGTGCCAACTCCTTATTGTAATTAGTTCTCAGTAGATAGTGAATATTCACCTGGTTACCTGGTAGTACAGGTACTATCTCCTTACTGTTTTAGTTCTCAATAGATAGTGAATATTCACCTGGTTACCTGGTAGTGAAGGTGCTAGCTCCTTACTGTTTTAGTTCTCAATAGATAGTGAATATTCACATGGGTACCTGGTAGTGCAGGTACTAACTCCTTACTGTTTTAGTTCTCAATGGATAGTGAATATTCACCTGGTTACCTGGTAGTGAAGGTGCCAACTCCTTATTGTAATTAGTTCTCAATAGATAGTGAATATTCACCTGGTTACCTGGTAGTGCAGGTACTATCTCCTTACTGTTTTAGTTCTCAATGGATAGTGAATATTCACCTGGTTACCTGGTAGTGAAGGTGCTAGCTCCTTACTGTTTTAGTTCTCAATAGATAGTGAATATTCACATGGGTACCTGGTAGTGAAGATGTCAACTCCTTACTGTTTTAGTTCTCAATGGATAGTGAATATTCACCTGGTTACCTGGTAGTGAAGGTGCCAACTCCTTATTGTAATTAGTTCTCAATGGATAATGAAAGTTCACCTGGTTACCTGGTAGTGAAGGTGTCAACTCCTTACTGTTTAGTTCTCAATGGATAGTGACAATTCACACTCCACGAATGTCAAAGTTACGTTACAGGATATAGGTCTGTTGCAAAATGACAAATAGCTCTATATGCTTAGAAAGTAAGGCAGCTCTTACAAACATTCTCGTCAATGAAAAAACTGTACATCCGCTTTTAAGGAATGTTGCGGATTTACATCAATATTTTATTCAACAATCAGCGAAACATTTATATATTTATTAACATCAAGTTATCGACTTGCTGTCCACATAGCTGACCGTCACAAATCAGTAACTCTGCATTATGCAACTGAGCCAAGCTGCCACTGCTAGGGTTATGCCCAAGGCTGTAACATGCTGTGAACATACATGAGTAATTATGTTTATGCAAATAAGAAAAACGTTTGTATTGCCTTTCAGAGTTCGTAAAAATGATGAAAAACGAATGAAGTAAACTCCAGAATCTTGGTGAGCGATCAAGTTGCCTTTGACTGACTCTGACAGCAATGCTTTGGTGGAATCTTACACCGTTCACGAGGGCGTACTGCTCAACGTGGAACACTGTCACTGTTACAACGATGTGTGCTGTCTATACGCAGTCTATTGTGAAGTTAGTTCAGGAAAACACTGTATGTAATCAAACTGTGATATTGATCTTCATCACATCGATGACAATATGTTACGGACCAAGATGTCTGAGATGTGGAAGCAGAATACTCGCGGAGAAAATGCTCACGTACTTCAATAAAACGAATACTCATCGTATATACCTTTCTCCATGTATGTATTTAAGTGTTTACCCTTGTTTCAATAAATATTGTTTGATAACACTTGTAAAGATATGGTTGTCTCTTGAAAATATACCAATGCAGATATATAGGTAATGTGTGACAACATGGTAGTTTCTGGGTGTTGGTTCTGTAACGATAATCGTAAGGATCAGCATGGTTGAAGAAATATCATATTCATTCTCAAAATCCGAAGTCCTCTGCTTACAGTGAAATCCCATTAGAACACACACTTAAATATGACATGACACTCTTTATGTGAAGGTCATATCACACCGATACAGTATTTTATGCTTTAAATAAGACGAAATCACCCGACATTCCAGTCGGGTTGCTGTCGGTAGACAATGACCAGGCACCAACGTTTAGAATTGGGTGAGAATCGGTGGTATCGGTAGATTTCATGGAGGTTTAATGCTGACCATTTCGAGAACACCTGGTGTCACCACTGTATTTCATGTGGGGAATCGAACTCAGGTCTTGGACATGACGAGCGAACGCTTTAACCACTAGGCCACCCCACCCCCTTTGTAGTGAACAATTACATGAATGACCAATTCAGTGAAATGACCAAGATTTTGAAGACGGCAATTGGTCATAACCTGCGTACCTGTATGACCCTTCATCAGTGAGATTGGAACTATACTCTTTGGTTAACAAGGCGTGACTGTAGATCATATACCCAGCATTTCGACAGATAATCTAGACGGGTTATTTTGATAAAATTTATAATGATGAAACGTGTACATTTGTGTCCATAATCAGCTTACCTGATAGATACGACTTAAAGACAACTGACAGCGTCAGAACTTCTAAAACTTGACATTCCAGATTGTTAAACACCAGTCAGTGTGGTAACAATTGATGTCACAGCTGCTGTAAAGGGACAAACTGCATTTCACTGATCACAATGTCCGATTAGAGAACGAGGCTCTCTGCTCTGTAATACATTATTGCATTGAATTGCAATAAAACAATATAAATTTACTTCAATTTAAGACAATAAAGAACCAATTTTAAAGACTTTTATTATACTTGGGAATTATAGATATATCCTTAGCAGATTTGTTTGGCGTTGCCTTTCTTCAACATGCTACGACAATACAATCTCATGATGCTTTTGTGAATCGTTGCCCATGTTACCACTGATGTGCCTAGCCAAGGTTGAGTATTTTGAGTCAACGTTGATACTAAATAAATATCGCAGGGCTTGTGTTGAACACCGGACAATCGTTCCCTCCCATGTCTCCTCAGGTAAAAACCAAGTTACCTTCCCGTCCTTCCTGAACGTCATGGCGAAGAGGCCAAAGGTTGTGGACACTGAACAGGACATTCTTGACATCTTCAAGACGATGGACAGAGACCAAAACGGGTTCATCAGTGCCGCAGAGTTACGTTACACGTTGACATCAATGGGGGACATGCTCTCTGACGAGGAAGCGGACGAACTTATTCGTCAGGCGGACATTGATGGTTCTGGAATGATAGATTATGAAGGTACGTTGGTGGTTTAGATTAACATTGATGGCACGGTAATTGTAGCTTATGGAAGTATACTGATGGCTTAGGTTAACATTGATGGCTTTGGAATGACAGATTATGAATGTATGTTGATGGTTTAGGTTTACACTGATTACTCGTTTACTGTAATTATGAAGGTATGCTGATGTTTAGGTTAACACTGAATGCCAGGTGACTGTATATCATGAAAGTGCGCTGATGGTTTTGGTTAACATTGAATGATGGTAACTGTATAGCATAGAAGTACGTTGATTGTTTAGGTTAACATTGAATGATGGTAGCTGTATGTTATAGAAGTACGTTGATTGTTTTGGTTAACATTGAATGATGGTAGCTGTATGTTATGGAAGTACGTTGATTGTTTTGGTTAACATTGAATGATGGTAGCTGTATGTTATGGAAGTACGTTGATTGTTTAGGTTAACATTGAATGATGGTAGCTGTATGTTATAGAAGTACGTTGATTGTTTAGGTTAACATTGAATGATGGTAGCTGTATGTTATAGAAGTACGTTGATTGTTTAGGTTAACATTGAATGATGGTAGCTGTATGTTATAGAAGTACGTTGATTGTTTAGGTTAACATTGAATGATGGTAACTGTATGTTATGGTAGTACGTTGATGGTTTAGGTTAACATTGAATGATCATAACAGTATGGTAGTACGTTAATTGTTTAGGTTAACATTGAAAGATGGTAACTGTATGTTATAGAAGTACGTTGATTGTTTCAGTTAACATTGGATGATGGTAGCTGTATGCTATGGTAGTACGTTGATTGTTTTGGTTAACATTGAATGATGGTAACTGTATGTTATAGAAGTTCGTTGATGGTTTAGGTTAACATTGAATGATGGTAGCTGTATGTTATGGTAGTACGTTGATTGTTTAAGTTAACATTGAATGATGGTAGCTGTATGTTATAGAAGTACGTTGATTGTTTTGGTTAAGATTGAATGATGGTAACTGTATGTTATAGAAGTACGTTGATGGTTTAGGTTAACATTGGATGCTAAGTAACTGTATATTATGAAAGTGCGTTGACGGTTTAGGCGCGCAGCGATTGCTCTGACTTGATACAATATAAGTGACGAGGAAGAGGACGAGGTAGATGTTGATTGCTCTGGAATGATAAATTATGAAGGATGTACCTTGATGGTTTAGGTTAACATCGAAGTCCCGGCAGGTTATGAAAGTATGTTGATGCTCTGATTCGATGGTTGGGTAGTGACAGATTATGCAGGTACATCGATGATTTAGGTCGACACTGATAGCCCAACGTGATAGATGATGAAGGTACGTTTACGACAAAGGTGACAGATTGGGATAGAACGCAAATATATCAGGCGGATTTTGATACCTCCAGGATGTTATATGGAGGTTGGTTGATACGCTGATACGCACCCGGACATTTTCTGTAGCTTCTTTCGTTATATAACTTAAATAAAAAACGGCAAATGGTCAAGAGGCAATGATATCAAGATTAAATGAACTCGGAAAAAGAAGTTTTATTTAAAATTACAATTTGTTTCACTGTATAGTATATATATATATACTATACCTTTATAAATCTTCACCAACTAGTGAAGACACCAGGTGTTTGCGAAGATACACGCGTATCGCATATTGCTTTCTCAGTGAGGGTTGTGTGGTAGCCTAGTGGTTAAACCACCGCTCGTCACACCGAAGACCCGGGTTCGATTCCCCACATGGTTACAATGTGTGAAGCCCATTTCGGTGTCCCCACCGTGATATTTATGGAATATTGCTAAAAGCGGCTCAAACCCGTACTCACTCGCCTTCTCAATGAACGTAAAGTGGGCCATACAATGGATCAAACGGCATGAGGCGTAGTCGTAGAATGCATTGGTTATTTCTCACATAGTAATCATGTTATTCTGGGCGGAAATGTTTTCAATGAATCCCTTCGATTAACATCGAATTGCCGGCTTAACACATTATAAGTAAGTTTCAATGTGTAATGTGTACCAAGCAGAATGTGCCGGGTAAGGTGGGCTTCTGTCACATTACTTACGTCTTTACTGACGTGACTGCTGCTCCCTAGGGCTTTGTGTGTGAGTTAGTGAGTGAGTGAGTGAGTGAGTGAAACAATTTCGCCACATCGGCAATATATCAGCCATGTCGTGAAGACAAAACAGTCATATAATAAGAATAAATATATTCATACTTTTTTTAAAAATGCTGGCATCGAAGGACAGTATAACAACTAGATTATCACAGATTATATTTAAAACAGGTTTGAGATCATTTTCAAACGCTAAATCATTCTTCAACAACACAAAATAAAATCGGGCTATAGATCGCCAACAACCAAAGTTTTGTCTGTAATGTTGTTGTTAAATGTTTGTAGTGAGTGAGTAATGCAGTCTTAAACAACATTTCATGAACAACATGTGTAAGCTTAAAATATTGAAGTGATGCAGGTTACGAACGTCCACTATTTTAATGAAGCTCAAGAACACGGATATGTCTCTGGCAAATCAGGAGGATCACCAGGGCGAATCTCGGATTCGAACAGCGATCACAGGATTTAGTGGAGCATATTGTAGTGCCTCCAACGACTGATGCATCCTTTCGTTGTTTCTATAATTTATACGTCAGGAAAAGACGAAATGTGTACTGTTCTCAAGTAGTCTGGTCTCTGATTTTCAGTGATTAATTTATATCATTTCCACCGCTGGTTTGCCTTGTACACCTATTAGGATATATTTGGGAAATAATCTAGACGCTTAATGTATAGTTATGGTTATAGAAAGTGTTTTGTTGTTTTATGACACAATTATGCAATTTTGCCACTCGTAATCAAAGGCAAGAATGGAAATTAACATGTCTTTACTGTTTTTTTTCTAGATTTCGTAAACCGAATGATGGCAAAGTGAAGTGACTTCTGATCCTTAAATGCAGGAACATCTACCATGGTCACCGATGGCGTCCATGCTGGCGTTATATGATCTTACCCCATGCTATGAGTATCTGAATCAACGGATGAATATGTGTAATATTTTAATTCTAATTAAATATATTTAATAAAACAAATTCCACAACATATGCACTGGTTTCTTCTTTAAGTCAATGATGAGTACCGCCGAAGTCAGCGATATTCCTCCATATGTGAGTGAGTGAAGTTTTACGCCGCTTTTAACAATATTTCAGCAATACCACGACGGGGGCCACCAGAAATGGGCTTCACACGTTGTACAAATGTAGGGAATTGAACCCGAGTGTGGGGAATTGAACCCGGGTTTTCCGCGTGACGAGCGAACGCTTTAACACTCGACTACCACACCGCCCCAACCAGTAAATGAAAGCACGGGCAGCAGTGTTACTCAATCGGTCTAGTTGCAGATCCTAACCATACCCTTCAGTCGCTGCAAAGGCAGACTTCGGGCATTGATTGCCCATCGTCCCGACTCCCTTCGAGGTTAATGAAAATTATATTTACAACCGAATTGTAGTGGACGCAGATTGTAGAGTGTACTGCCTTGGCCCCAACCCCCGAAACCCTTCAACACTCAGATGCAGATGTCACAAACACATGCAAAATTCCGCATTACTCATATTTGTTATGATCAACATAATATATAACAAATACACGACTTAAATATAGTGGCAAACATTACGACATTCGTCACCCTGTTACAGAAATATTAAAACTAACCAAGAGTACTAAGAAAGATCACGATGGCATTAAACTGACTGATTATTTGTAACAACGTCCAGTCAGCAAGGGAAATTTCAAAGGAATGTGTTATTCCTGAAAGTTTCTGGTTTACAAGGGAAATATTGTTCAGAGTGGCCATAAACCGACTCACTCACTCACTCACTCTAGTTAGTTCCGGCCTCCAAATATATTTTAATGATTGTGTGCATTCAAAAAATAATTGAAGAATATTTTTGCAAAAATATTTATGTTTCGAAACGAATCTAGTAAAAGTCTAACAGTGTACAACGCCTTTCTAAAAGGTATTATTTACAATAGGTAAACTACAGTCTCCTTAAGATCATCGACCTGGATAATCCGATATTATGCATGCAGATGTATGTACGGGCCTACAACAAAATACTAATCCATTGAGCAAGCTGAGCGGTAGCCAGTTCCCCACGCCAGGTTAGTGGACATCAGAGTGGACATCTGACATATGTATAGGTTACAATATCTCTGTCGTGTATCTGCTCAGATGATTCCCTAGTACATATCCCTAGGTCTGCAGCATTTACTTGAAGGAATGCGAGTATTGATCTCCAGAAATGGAAGACTACACATGACGGTACGGTACATATCTTGTCTCCAGCCAACAACATTTCCCTAATGGCACCTTCGTACAGTTCTCATGATGTGTAGCATCTTGATTGTATGACAATATATATGTGGTATCTAGTATTTCTTATAGGATTTCCGACTAGCAACATTTACCCGATTTATGCCAGTGTATATCTCACTAGACATGACGTATTTATTTTATGTTTGTTTACATATTTCTCTCCAGACATGTTCTACTGTGTTGATGAAATGCACATATTTAGCTCTTTTTTCTTGGTAATATGAAATATTGTTTGGATGGTACGACAGTATAACCATCGTTTGTACTAATCTGAAGTATTGTCGTGGGTAATGTTAGTATATAGTCTCTCAAGACATGCACCATTGTGTTTGGCGGTATGACGTGTATATAGTCTGTCGTGATATATAGTCTTTCGAGATCTGTAGTATTTACTTTCTATGTTCTTTAACGCTGCATTCAGCAATATTAGAGCTATGGCTGCGATCTGTAAATAAACCAGACAATCCAGTGACAACATGAGCATCGATCTACATGACTGGGGTACGATGACATATGTCATCCATTAGTCGTCTCTTACGACAAGCATGTGTTGCTGAGGACAAATTCTAACCTGAATCTTCAAGAGTGGTTTTACTTCATGGTATGTAGGCATCTATCTTCTGATTTCCACCTGAGGTATTGTCTCGGATGATATGGCAGTATATGAGGTATGTCTTCGCCTCATGGGCTGTGCACATCATTGTTGACACATGTAATATTAATGCAACACCGGGTAAGATCAATAAGTAATCGATATGTCAACATGGATAATGAACCGATTTTTTATCTTTGTATGTATCTGAGCGTGACGCTTTCTTTTTGTCACGAATGATGTCCTTTCAACAACAAACAACATCTGAAACAACAGCCGGACATCTTTGAGACGAATATCAAAGGAATATAATGCAGTCGTCAGAGAGTCGCCACAGACAACAATTGTCTTGATCCAGAGACCATCTCGAGAGAATTACAACACCCCTCGACATTAAGGCTTGACATTAACGGTTCCAGTCTCAGGAGCGGTCTACCATAACACCCTATTTCTGTTCTTAGTACTACATGTGAAGACGTATTGTGGGTCGTGGACTCTTAATGCATTCTGGAGTACACAAGGCTTGGTTATGAACGACTTCGGGGTATATTCATTATAACAAAGGACAACTCGCACTCAACGTTTTCCCAAGCTACCTCTTGTATAGCGGGTAGACATTCTGCCAAAGCTGTGGACCCATATTCAAGGAATTACCGTGCACTATACAACGTGGACTGTCCAATCAGCTAAGTTTTCGGATCTACGCCGTGGAACCATTCTCGCTCCGATTGTCTGCTGTTCAAAACAACAAAATGGTGAGACGATGTGTTTATCGGTTGACTTAGACATCATACCATGTAGATAGTGATTCATACCAGCAAATGTGTATATATATTGTTTACATTGTATTTGTGGTTATTGTGTTTATGTGAATTTATTTATGAGTACAATGTCTGTCTTATGTAATCACAAAGGATATGTTAATTCCGTGCTAAGGGTCACGGATTTCATTTACCTATTTCGTTACATAGTTAGATCATGTAAAGATAATCTACTTATGCAGTCTACGTTCACAGTCTACTGGGTTTTCTATCTGGCTTATTATTTTGAACAATGACATTAGTTATCAAGTCTTGCGTCTCAATCATATTATCAGTTAACAATGTTAATCTCTTTTGTAGTCAATACTGGATGAATTAACGCAGGAACAAATAGAAGGTAAGGTCAAGACCTTTGAACAAACGTGCAGCAGAGATAATCCTGATTGCAGGCTGTTAATCAAGATTAACCAACATGAAACCCATACAAGCTGATATATGAACTTCATACACAATATACAATATGTAATAACTGGCAATCCTCATTACCAGTGGTGGTAATTATCCGTGTCGTTTAAGAGGATGCCACGGCGAAAGGTCACAGTAATATTGTTTACCCCGTTTAACACTTGTTAAGTCGAAGTTTCGAAGTAAATACAATACTTCAGTTTGTTGGCAATTGTAGGTAGAACATATCTTTACTACCCATCTGTGGTATTAAAGTATTCGTTCTATTCGTTAGTGATATAAGTTTGGTTTATGGATACAGTGATAGAATATTTGAATTATTACTTTTCAAAGGAATGTGGATGGAATATTGTCGATATTATTGCCCAGTAAACTACGGTTGTAGAGAACACAAATGACCCCTAATTGTAATTCGTTATGTGCACTTCGACTGAACTACACAGCAAGTGGTCGTGACCCAAAACACTTCGGTATATCCGCCAGTTCGTTATAAAGCGTGTTCGTGTTTAACGTAGTTGATTGTTCATGGTGAAGACACTGACTTAAATCTATGTAATACAAAGTCATCGAATAACCGTTCCTTGTTTCATTTTTGTCACCATCGAACAGGGACGTATACTTTATTGTACAGGAGTATATATGCCATAATAAATTCTACATTTGCAAAATACTCATACCATGCAAGAAAAGCTTCATTATCGCTTTCTGAACAGCCTTATGCATTCAGTACTCTCATGATTGTAATTAGCCATGGATATCATAGTACATCAAAACATAATAAAAAAACTGATTCAAAATTAAATCGGCATATGTCATTCACAACATTGGTGGAAACAGTCATTCATCTTTCATTCAATACTTTAGACATTAACTTAAAATTTAATTAAAAATAATGAAACATGGATTGTTTGAATATTAGTCTACTTGATGTAACTGTACTTCAGTAAACTACGTTCATAACGAACTCGGTTATAACGAACTGATGGATATAACGAACTTTTTACGTCGCGGGTACTTTGTGTATTTTGTATTCCACTATAACGAACTTCGGTTATATCGAAGCATTGATGGTCCTCAGAGTTCGTTATAACCGTAGTTTACTGTGTTTTTGTATGAGTTACATCGGTTTGATCAATCATCACAGATAAAACCATGATCATTTGTCACTGTCAGTACTGCAATGTGTTCCGCTCGAGGCAATTCTCACATGACTGTCCCTATATGTCCAAGGCCATTGTATGACAAGACGCATATTTATGGTAGTATGTCATCATTGATTTTAAACAACCATGACATCCTATCCGATCAGGTTTTGTATAGGCATCCCCTGAATCAATAGATACGTTTGAAATCATACCAGTTATCGATTCCAACGCCAGGGAGACAAAGCAGGTCTATTGTGCAACGTTGATGTTGTTATGTTGAAGACTATCCATACACAGATGATGCTCAGGCACAGTTTTTCAGTGTAGTGAGTGAGTGAGTTTAGGTTTACGCCGCACTCAGCAATATTCCAGCTATATAGCCGCGGTGTGTAAATAATCAAGTCTGCACCAGATAATCCAGTGATCAACAGCATGAGCATCGATCTGCGCAATTGGGATACGATGACATGTGTCAACCAAGTCAGCCAGCCTGACCACCCGATCCCGTTAGTCGACTCTTACGACAAGCATGAGTTGCTGAAGATCAATTGTAACCCGGACTTTCAAGGGTAAATGAGGCTCAAGCACAGTTTCTCACAGTGTAATGCATAATAGTGAGTGTGTGAGTGAGTGAGTGGGGTAACTTTAAATAGTATTTCTGTTATTCCGTATTTCCGTATTTCCGTTTGTCGGCTTAATATTAGGGGAAAGTAAAACTAGTTTCAGACGTTTACAACTTTGGTGAAAACCAAATGCGAGAAGATGCTGCAGAGAAACCTAGAAAAATAATCAGGAGTAATGGATTCGAACCCAGAACGAAAGTGTTTTTTCTGCAAGACACGCCATTTCTCTGCCCTCAGGCTGCATCACCCCCATGACCCCGCGTTGCGTACACAATGAAATATATTGGAAAAGACAAAACGTGTTAATGTTCAAAATCAATCAGCACATTGCTTTTAGATATCATCCGATAGTTTGTCAGCAACCAATACAATGTGCGTCATGCTTCACAGTCTCGGAGACGATATCAATTCATAATCCACAAAGTAGTATGGAAGAAGAGGGGGGAAATGACAGCTAAGGTTTCGACCGTGACAAACCCATTATACCTTTCAAAACATTCATTTCAGTTGGATGCATTCAAGTGTAGCTAAACAATAAAATTTACTATTAGTTTATAGCGCGCTAACGCATTATGGACTTACTCAATCGTTACGGAAATACAGATTGAAACGTCTACCACAGAATAATATAAATTTAAATAGATTCAGCTGGGAGTAAAAGTAAAAATTTCGCTCAAAACTATATGAATGGATCAGTGAAAATCAATGATTACACCAAGCGTTCGTGTAAAGGGATTTTAAAACGGGAGGGATTCAAACCGCTATCAATATATGGTGAGTTGGTTTAATTTAACGCTGCTTTTAGCAATATTTCAGCAATATCACGGCAGGGGGGCACCAGAAATGGGCTTCACAAATTGTACCCAATTAGGGAATCGAACCCGGTTCTTCGGCGTGACGAGCAAACGCCTTAACCACTAGGCTACCCCGTCGCCCCATCAGTATATTGCAATAGGGGCAATAAAGGATGGACATCACTCATGTGTGATGTCTATAGATAGGACAGCTGACATGCTGAACGTATTCTTATTTTGCAGATTACAGCCGTGCGTTTCGTCTTTTCGACAAAGATGGCGACGGTACTATTGACGCTAAGGAACTGGGCACCGTAATGAGATCCCTGGGCCAGAACCCGAACGACGATGAGCTCCAGGAGATCCTGGAGGAAGTGGATGCTGATGGTGAGTGCCATATTAATAATATCCTGAAAAAAAGTATTCCTTGAAATCAATCCCTGCAGTACAGTTACAATATAATAGAGCCCCAAACTTGATAGATGTACAACAACGGGTATCGATATGCGGGAGCAACATGTGTGTATGTTCAGGATTAGAATAATCGCCCACTGTCTAAAAATGTGAAGGACGGAGATTTGAGAGGATGGTTGCTATGGATGGATGTAATTCCATAGCCAGAACAGTTACTCAGAACAATTGCTCAATGTCGGTGGACTGAAGTCGGAATAGCTGCTAAGTGTCCAATGATTGACTGAAGTCGGAATAGTTGCTAAGTGTCCAATGATTGACTGAAGTCGGAATAGTTGCTAAGTGTCCAATGATTGACTGAAGTCGGAATAGTTGCTAAGTGTCCAATGATTGACTGAAGTCGGAATAGTTGCTAAGTGTCCAATGATTGACTGAAGTCGGAATAGTTGCTAAGTGTCCAATGATTGACTGAAGTCGGAATAGTTGCTAAGTGTCCAATGATTGAATACAATGATTGACTGAAGTCGGAATAGTTGCTAAAGTGATTGACTGAAGTCGGAATAGTTGCTAAGTGTCCAATGATTGACTGAAGTCAGAATAGTTGCTAAGTGTCCAATGATTGACTGAAGTCGGAATAGTTGCTAAGTGTCCAATGATTGACTGAAGTCGGAACAGTTGCTAAGTGTCCAATGATTGACTGAAGTGGGAACAGTTTATCATTGTCGAATAGTTGACTTAAAGTAAAATCGGTTTTGTAGGTCACCGAATGAATGGGTTCATCCTAAGAAACAGACAGATAACCGTATCAACTGTGTATTTTCTCATAGTAGTGTTGATGCTGATCATAGAGTTACTGACCAGCGCGAATCCCATTTATAAGCCTTCCAGTTAGTGACGACACCAGATGTTTTTGTGATCAATGAAGATTCATAAAATGAATGTACATGGTTGATGCTGTATCATCCAGGCAACGGCATCATCGACTTCGAGGAGTTCCTGGGGATGATGGCAAAGAAGATGCAGTCCCGTGACTCGGAGGAGGAGATCAAGGAAGCGTTCAAGGTCTTTGACAAGGAAAGCAAAGGTTACCTGACCTCGGAAGAGCTTCGTCACATTATGACGACAATGGGCGAGAAACTGACCCACGAGGATGTGGACGACATGATCAGAGAGGCGGATCTAGACGGGGATGGGAAGATTGACTACCTTGGTGAGTGGCCGGGATATCTGGTTTGGGAGCGGAAGGATTATGGGTTTGGTCGGACAGGGTAGAGAAATGATGTGGTGTTCATGAGCTGACGCGTTGTGAAAAGTGCAGGAGGTAAACAAAAGAAGAGACAATTGCGGAGACTCATCACAGCATTTTTGTAGACAGAGTAAGCGACAGGAAAAGTTATGCAAGAGTGTTTTATGAGAGAGTTACAGAATAGCGTGTGAAGATCCGGGTTATAATTTATCGCCTGCGACCCATGTTTTTCATATGAGGTGACTAATGTGGGCGGGTGGTCAGGTTCGCTGATTTGATAATGCATGTCATCGTATCCCAAGTGTGTAGATCCCCATGATGTCAATCAATGGATTTTCTGTTCCCGACTCGATTAGTTACAGACCGCCGTCATGTAGCTGGGAACACCCGGTGTTAAACAACGTTATGTATATGGGATCTGTGAGAGAAGCGAGTATGGGAGTACAGTAGTTTTATGCTGAGACCGAAATGCAGAATAGAACATTTTGAGACATATATATTGCTATACGGATGTTGACAAATACAGCTGAACCATTGGATACTATGTGAAATATAAGTAGACTTGAATACATGACACTTTTATGGATAACAACTTCTTTTTATTCTTTACACGACGTTTTAGAGCTAATTCGTACTCCTTCATCAGGTGAATACTGAGTCAGTACAAAGAGTGAATATATAGAGATAAAACATGTTTACACAATGCAAGGAGGGAGAATGTACAAAGATAACAATATAATTACGTAGCCAACAATATAATCACGAAGCCAATAAGATTACAAAGCCAAACAGTAGACTGTTTGAAAATATATTTATGTTTAAAAAAGAGTTTTATTTAAAACAAATATCACGAGAGCGTGCAGGTATGTAGGCGAGATAAGAAAATACCTTAATTTGCTAAAAGTCACCTGTAAAGACAAAGAAACAATCTACATGAGGTCATAAATCAGTTCATCAATGTCGGTGACATCAAAGAGAGACAGGTGGGTCAGATGACAGATGAGGGGAACCAAAGGCTGTTTGATAACAGGTAGAACAACATCGTGGTCATACGGGCAGTCGAGACAACACCGTGTGTCCATCAGACAACAGATCGTGTAGGCAATTGACGCCGCCCAAACTTCCATAGTAGAAGAGCTTTATCTTCTTTGCAAAGATGTTCCCCACATTCCGTTTTACGCGAACTTAGATATATAACGGTCAACATGAAAGTAATTGTTTGTTTGTTTGGGTTTTGTTTGTAAGTGATGACACCAGGTGTTCGCTGAAAGGGTAAACATGTCCTGTCCTCCCATAGCACCCGCCATTCACAACCTTTGCCTAAAAAATGGAAGTATATTTTGCATGACGCCGAACAGCAGTACTTCTGCGCGATGTCGACACTCCGAGTTTTTGGTTTTGTCGACGGTTAGCAACAACCTATTTTTCATTTGTCGACAGATCGGGCTGACACCGCGACGACGGCTTGTAAACAAACCGGACAATCACATGATTGATGTACCGGAAAATGTACCGGAAATCCACCGAGATTATATTTGAAAGGTGTCTTACCGAAACGTCGACCCCTAAGGTTGAGGGTAAAAATCCTTCGATGTGATATGTTGTTTTAGCGTTGTTGTTTCAAGGGATTAAAGTCTGGGTGTCACCCAAATTTGAACTCAGGTGCGAAAAGTGATCACCAATTTAAGTATGAGATCTGTTCACCTACTGGAATATTATTATTTAGTGAGTTCACTCAATGCCACTAATAAATTCAATCATATCACACATATAAGGCAGCATGACATCTCAAACATCATTTCCATCATGGCAAATGCACAGCTTGATCACTGCTTTCTTCCTACGTCTTGGGGGTAGGTGGGGTAGCCTAGTGGTTAAAGCGTTGGCTCGTCACGCCGAAGACCCGGGTTCGAATCCCCACATGGGTACAATGTGTGAAGCCCATTTCTGGTGTCCCCCGCCGTGATGTTGCTGGAATATTGCTGAAAGCGGCGTAAAACCAACCTCAGTGAGTCAGTCAGTCCTACTTCTTGGGGCGGTAGATACCTGTGTATGGGGAGATATATGTACAGAATAAGCAAGAGAAAGACAGGAGGTTGGGTTTCTTAGAAATGCTTCTTTCTTTTTCTTACTTCCCCAAAAAGAATTAAGCCGACTGTTTCTACGATCAATGGCTGTTTCTTGCGAAACAGCCATCAGCGCACAGCCATGAGTCGACTGAAATGAATATTCAGGTGCGTAATAATATAATTATTTTATTTATATTCTTTTAAACACATATAATGTAGATTTAATATATCATTATAATTATAAATTCGGGCGCAATTTGAAATGAGGGATGGCACGGCAGGATTTACTCCCAATAGTTAGACATCCTATTAGTTAGAGATCCCAATTGTCAGACACTGGACTCGACATTTATTAGGGCAACACCCATATATACGTAGGAACGTCCCAATTGGATATTTTAACCAGTTAGTTTAACCTAAGGAAAAACTGTTATTGTGTATAAATATTTTGGACTTATTTTTGATCAAATTATCTGTATCAAAATCAATTTTATACATGAAGTGTACAAATGCTGATTTCGCTGAAATTTGTTCATGAAGTGTATTGGTAAATGTATAATTCGATTTACAATTTAGTGCTTTACTGTTCATAAATGACTAAATGTTGAATCTGTTTTTTTTGTCGTTTCTGATTTCTGTATAACCCGTATGACTTTAACAACATTTTAATCCCATTGTATCCAGTCGGTGGTGCGTGGAGACTGTCGGCACCTTTTTGTTTTGACACGCTTTAGAAGGTCGACGTTTTGGTAATGAACCATTTGAAATACGACTGCGTAGAAGTACAGAGAATCCATTGTTGATTTTTCAAGTACAAATATTTATAACTCGAAAGTATAGAAAAGAAAGATGTACATGATGATAAAACCATATTTGCAGTAACTTCTGAAAATACAAAATGGCCGTTATATTCAGCCTTCGTGGATTTGAGATAGCTTACTGTCCACGACAAATAGAATTATTTATGAAAATATTTATTAAGAAAGACACTAAACCAAAGATACAACATGTGTTTCTGTTTTACTTTATAAAAGTGACTGTCTATAACGGATATGCGGTTTCCGTTCCCGGACGGTAAATTTTACAAACCAACCGGTTAAGTCAAAACAAAACTTATCCGCACGAAGCTTTGATCTTCCGCTGACCGTGTGAAGTGAAGCGCGAGTGTCCCACGTGTTTTGACACGAAACAAGTTCAGCTATTCCGGAATAATGATCAGCAGTGTATTGGTGGTGATTAGTAGGCCTGTCTGACACAGAGTGAATTGTAGTTGGCAAATCAAAACGACCATGCTGTTTTGGAAGTGATTTTAACCCAGAAGTGTATGCTCGCTACCGTTCAAACACCTACTATATTATTGTGCATGTTTGAACTTGATCACCGGGAAACGTGTGCACAGCTGATTGCTATTTCCGGCACAAATACACACGGTAATCTTAAGCTTAATCCCTGCAAATAATACAATGCCCAGCAAAAACAACTTAGCACTTAAAACGTAATTAATCTTGTCTAGTGACATTTAATTGCAAATTTGACGTCTTTACTGACAAATTTGTCTTCTGTTGTTTGTTCACGTGAAGTTTCCCCTGGAAAAAGTTTGACGAAAGCGTAACTCATAGATAAGCCGACCCCATTCTACACACTGCTTTTTTTATACTCAAAATTCGGCTTATAGACTGTAATATACGGTCAGCCTGGATGACAGAAATCCAGATATCCGGATATTCAGTTATCCGGACGATTTACGTAAAAACGAATGTGTCGGATATCCGGGGTCTCACTGTATATGTTATACTTTTTGTCAATAGAATTCAGCAAGATGTTGGCATCCGGCTGCGAACAACAAAACCAGTCCCTCCTGCAACCTATGTAGACGATACACAGATATGGACCCATCCCTATCACAAAACCAGTTCGTGCTTATTTGGACTTATGGCTGGACATTCGTCATCATCTGTGATAAAACAAACACTTGGGCGTATTGAGTTATGTATGTGAGCAATGGAGTGTGTGTGTGTGTGACAGTATCACAATGTTGTTGATGCTATGTCTCACAACAAGCGCAACCTTTGGAACCGACAGGATGGACATGAGGGGAGATCACTCTCAGTTGGGCATGAGGGGAGATCACTCTCATTTGGCAACATCAAGTCAGCGAAATGAGAAGTCACCTGCGAGATTGTTTGTTATGTACGTTGTCATTTTCATTACGATCATTATGTACCATACATTTTCTTAGAAAATGTTTCATTTTAAATATAGAGAGTATTGATGTAAATATATTTATATATTATGATACTCATTTTTCCGGTTTCCCGATTTTGAAACACATGTGGAGTTTTCATACTGACATGATATTTATTGCTGAGCATGTTCTTTTTATTTTTGTAAATTGCTTACTGAGATATTTATCTTTGACATTTCAGCACATATGTGGAATTTATGTAGCACTAAGAATATATGCCTTCGTCTTTGTCACGTCTTCTTTCTCTTCTATTAAATGTTGCACAACAGAACACTGTTAGTTTTTTGTTTAAAATAATTTTAGCACAACCTAAATGGCCATACCACATAAACAAAATATATAGTCTTAACACAGATAGATCAGTAGATCTAACAGAACCCCGTGATATCTGTGTTTGAGAAACCCTTGTGAGTGGTTATCTGTAACATTGTTGAATAAATCATCATGCATTTGCAACTGTTTTCATTTTTTTTTATATTTCATGTTTACTCAATATAATCTTCAAATTAAAGATGTCGACGTCGGAGAATATTCTGTCTAGAATGTCTGAAAAAAAACCCGGATTCCTTTTTGACTGCAAGGCAAAATAGAGTGAGTGAGTGGGTGAGTGAGTGAGTGGGTTTGAGTGTATGGGTGAGTGAGTGGGTGGGTTGGTGGGTGAGTGAGTGGGTTTGAGTGTATGGGTGAGTGAGTGGCTTTGAGTGTATGGGTGAGTGAGTGAGCCTTTGAACAGTATTTCACTTTTGCCAGGACGTGTCAGATTATGTGATGCAGGACTTACATTCAGGTGAATCGAGCCCGGACCAGACAATCCAGTGATCAACATCATGAGCATCGATCTACGCAGTTGGGATACGATCACATGTGTCAACCAACTCAGCGAACCTGACCACCCGATCCCGTTAGTTTCAATGTTAATTTTGTTATTACTTTTTAAAACTTTTCTTTAATTTTTTTTTTTAAAGAATGACATTGAGTTCTGTATTTGTCGTTCAAATCACATTCAGATTTTGTTCCGTCAATATTACTTTATTTCTTCTGTTTCGCATTGACATTAAACATTTCCCCAAGCAGTCTTTCTGGCAAACACATGTCTTCTCACCTGAAATTAACATCATACCCAACCAGCACCACATCTCAACTAAGTCTAATTCCTAATAACGAGTATATCAAGTAAGTTATTCTGTTAACCATTCAGCGTTGGCATTCCGGTCTTTGTGACACTGGATCTCTAGGTGGGTTGACATTTCCAACCTAAAACCTATATGAGAACGCCATTGTTCATGCCCCTTCTAGTAATCCGGAACAATATGTCAGATTTACATACCCATAGACACCGAGTCGGCTTGTCAATTTCTACCGCTATTGACGAAAGCAATTCTCCACTTGCTTTCATGACTTTCCGCAATGCGACTAGTTGTCAAGCAGTTTAAATGCACCCGTGACAATGCAAGCACACCATACTCGCTTTATGATCATGTCTGTTACCTTTCAGTAGGTGCGCGGTCTAGAAAAGACCACAGTAGGTAATCGTTTTCTCATTAGGATAATCGTTTCATGCTGTAGTTTAAAATGGTAAGTATGATTTTTATGTTCCTCTATGTAAGCGACCATTCTTGAAAGGATAACCGCTTACAATCGGTTGCTCTGAGTAAATTGTTATCTGGAATGTTCCGTGCATGGTTCATACATTTAACCAATACATATTTGAAAGACATTCAAAAGTAAAGTTTCCAACATGTAAAGAATCTGAACATGTATTGCTGTTGATCATTTTTACCCTGTGTACCTGCTGAGCTGAAAGATCTGGAGGTGTCATTTTGTTGTCATTGAATAGACTGACTGACTGAGTTTGGTTTTACGCCGCTTTTAGCAATATTCCAGCAACATCACGGCGGGGGACACCAGAAATGGTCATTGAATAGAAGAGCACGAATAGACGAATAAATGTTAAAAGGCATATATGACTTTCAATTTCATATAAATTGATACACCGAGTTACGACACTTTGAATCAGCAATGCCAAGGCAATGTTAATGTTCCAAATGATTTTTGTGGACGCGGAAAGAGTTTTCTCGCTTTTATTTCAATTTTTTTTCACGTTCACAAAACCCATGATAGCGATGAAAGTATATAAAGTGTTCAAAGTTTTAATCATAAGAGACACAATCATTTCCATGACCAAATGAAATTTTGACTAAAAGCAAAGTCCATTGTACGATTCCGACTACATCATGAGCTACTGATGGACAGATTGTCACGAACAATGGTCTCATCCCTATTTGAAAATGATAATAAACACATACTCACCGGAATTGTACAATCGACTCGAGATTTCTTATGGATGCTGAAAGAGTTATGTCGCTCTTACTGCTATGCATGATGATATAGATTTAGGCAAAAGGGTAAGCGTAGCCTGTATCCCTATTGGCTTCGGTCACAAACACATGCAAAGGCATGTCATCCGATCGGGAGCTAACGGCACAAGTGAAAATAATGAATAACATCGACATAGTCTCGAAACGATTCTTGTCCAGAGCATCTTGTTCTGAGTGTCATGAGCAAGTTTGTACCTACTCCGACCTGCTTCTATTATGGCTCCTTACCAGGATCGTTTGGGGCCTAAGGGTGCGATGACGTTGCGTCATTAAACAAAGCGGAGGGTATGTCAGATGAGTGAAGGAGCGTTATGGAGATGCCGTTGTACTCATTCAGGGATTTAGGAAGATCGAGAACATATCACTGAGAAGGAGATTTGTTGGCTAAAGTTGTTTGTGGTTTTACGCCGCATTCAGTGATATCCTAGCGTGTTGGTAATATCTCCCAAAAGGTGTTTTATTGCGTTTGGTTAGAATCAGATCTTTAGCTTTGTGATATTAAAAAAGATGAGAACGTATCAGTAGATTATTCAACAAGCGAACACCGGGCATACAATTTCAGATAACGACATTGCTTTATGGCTATAACTTTCGCATTGAGTGAGTGAGTGAGTTATGGTTTTACGCCCCTTTCAGCAATATTCCAGCAGCATCACGGCGGGGACACCAGAAAAATGCCATAGACATTGTGCCCATGTGGGGAATCGAAAACGGGCCTTAGACGTGACGAGCGAACGCTTTAACCACTTGGCTACCCCCCATTGTCCCCGATTCGTAGTAAATGGTGTGTTTTAGAAAAATCATTTTAATTGTCAAAAATAGTCTGGAACCATGCACATACCAAACATACCAATGTTCGTAATTATTGTCGCCCCATACTAAGAATTGTTTGCTTGTTGTTTGACGCCACAGTCAGAAATATTCCAGCTATATGGCGGCGATCCCCATACCAAGACGAATAATAATTATCAGCATTGGTATACATCTATACATGGTATGACCATTAAGAAAACATACAAGCTGAAGAGAAAAGAACCGCTTGACCATTGGGTTCGTCCTTTAACAATATTGATTTTAATGTGTAAAAATCTAAACAAAAATATACGCCAAATTTCAAAAGCCTTCTTCTGAAGCAGCCAAACACGTTCAACATCATCGTGGTGCCGTTTTGTCTGCAGGCAGAAGAACAGCAGTGTGCGCCGGAAGGATCCCAACTCACAGAAGATCAGATAGCAGGTACATATATATCGTAACTTGATCTAACTGAACAGGACCGGGTGGAGAGTGGGTGTTGTTTTACACCGCCTTTAGCAATATTCTTGGAACACCAGAAATGAGCTTCACGCGTTGTACCCATATTGGGAATCGAACCCAGACCTTCGTCATGACGTGATAACTTATTTTGATTTATACTTGACCTGAGAGTTGGTATATGAGAGCTTGTAATAGGCATACAACAGCTGCAAATAGGTATATAAGATCTGATTATAGGCATGTACGACCTCATCCCAGGCCCGAGAGTTGTTGGTAGGTATTCAAGAGCAGGTAGAAGGTTAATAGGATCTGGTGGTCGGTATAGAAGATGTGCTAATAGCGATTGTATACAACTATATACCACCCCATAGAAGGCATACAAGAGCTGACAGTAGGTGATTAATCTGACAGTAGATGTATATGATTTGATGGGAGGTGTAAACAGCAAGAGGTAAGTACATGAATTGTAAATAAAAGGTATACGTGTATACGATCCCATAGTAAGTATTCGAGAACTGACAGTACCTGTAGCTGTGGGTATATAGGATGTGATGGTAGGAATATAGGATGTGATGGTGGTATATAGGATGTGATGGTGGTATATAGGATGCGATGGCAGGTATATAGGTTGTGATGGTGGTATAAAGGACGTGATGGTAGGTATATAGGATGTGATGGTAGGTATATAGGATGTGATGGTGGGTATATAGGATGTGGTGATAAGTATATAGGATGTGATGTTGGTATATAGGTTGTGATGTTGGTATATAGGATGTGATGGTGGTATATAGGATGTGATGGTGGTATATAGGATGTGATGATGGTATTTAGGATATGAAGGTGGTATATAGGATGTGATGATGGTATTTAGGATATGATGGTGGTATACAGGATGTGATGGTGGTATATAGGATGTGATGGTGGTATGTAGGATGTGATGGTGGGTATATAGGATATGATGGTAGTTATATAGGATGTGATGGTGGGTATATAGGATGTGATGATAGGTATATAGGATGTGATAGTGGGTATATAGGATGTGATGGTAAGTATAGAGGATGTGATGGTGGGTATATATGATGTGATGGTGGTATACAGGATGTGATGGTGGGTATATAGGATGTGATGATAGGTATATATGAGCAGGTAGTGGGTATACACTACCTCACATTTGGTATCCGACAGTAATCAGTGAGAGAGGTTGGTAGAAAGACAGACAAGGTATGGTAGTAGATTTGTGTGCCCGTGAGAGAGGACAAAACCAGTTCATAGGTAAACACAGCTAACAAGGGCAATGGGATGACGCAGATGAATAATGTGATGTAAAATGTCAATGAAGTGGCTGATTTTCCATTCTATGACTAGTAAAAGCTTTCATGACTTTACAGTTCTTAATAAATCTCGCTATCGGTTACAAATGAGTTCAAGGCGGGGAACGTGATAGGTCCGCACAGGTTGGACCTACACACAATACTGTTTACAAGCTTGGAATGTAGCACACTTGGGATTATACATTATTGGAAATGTGATATGGCAAGAGCTTATTACACCAATACACCATAAAGTAGACACAATGCTGTGGAAGGTAATACAGATGTGGAGTTCACGGCTAGGTTCTTTGTACTATCGTTGATTTATTACTTTCCTTGTTAATGATATATCCCTGGGATATGACAACTGTGCTCACGTCAGTGGTTGTGGAATGTTGAAGAGTCAGTGCTGCATAATACGTCATTGTGTCTCTGTAATATGCATGTGTTTTGTGTCAGAGTGAGTGAGTTAATGAGTGAGTGGATGGGTGGGTGAGTGGGTGACCGGATGGGTGAGTGGATGGGTGGGTGGGTTGAGTGAGGTTAGTGTGTGAGTGATTGAGTGAGTGAGTGAGCAGTATTTCACTTTTGCAATGACATGTCAGTTTATGTGATGCAGGACTTACATTCAGGTGATCAACATCATGAGCATCGATCTACGCAACGGGATACGATGACATGTCTCAGCGAACCTGACCACCCGATCCCGTTAGTTTCATTGTTAATTTTGTTATTACTTTATAAATCTTTTGTTTAAAATTTTCTTATAAAGAACGACATGGATTTCTGGTGGGTGAGTGGGTGAGACGGATAGGTGAGTGGATGGGTGGGGCAGGTTGAGTGAGGTGAGTGAGTGGTTGAGTGAGTGGTTGAGTGGTTGAGTGAGTGGTTGAGTGGTTGAGTGAGTGAGTGAGTGAGTGAGTGAGTGAGTGAGTGAGTGAGTGAGTGAGTGAGTGAGTGAGTGAGTGAGTGAGTGAGTGGACAGTATTCCACCTTGGTCATGACAGTATATGTGATGCAGGTCGCAGGCGCGACACAGTGTTGACCAAAAACAAGTATAAAAAATCACCAGAAAAATCTGGGATTCGACTGCGAAACTACCATTATATTGGATACTTCTCCCCCTACTTAGTCAAGATTTATATTCCCATGTTTATCTCACTTTAATTTACTCAGGGGGCAACATGGCGATACGTCTCAACCCAACGTATCTATGTGACATTGGAGTTATTTATGAAACTGGTTCAGGGACAGGCACTTAAATACACACAGATATTAATTTCAATCACGTCTGGATTTCATCTAACATTTTACCGAGCCCTGGTCCCATCCTTATGGACTATTTAGGTCACAATACTTCAACATGAGTTTCCTCATAGAGAGGAGGGCGTGGAACACGAGCTGTGCCAGCTGTTTGTACCAGGGTATGTCCAGGTAGCGGTTTGACAGGGTAAACTACCAACACGTTCTGCAATTGTTGTTATTAATGTAAACGTTAATAGAAGTATTGCGTTGGCAATGAGTCTCTTGACATTGTTTGTCGCGATGGTAGTATGACCATTAGCATCTCTGTAATGTTGGCATGTAGCAGTTGACAAGTTTTATAGGCTGTTTCAACTCTTTGTTGATGCATTTAAGATGAATATAGTTGACTCATATTTACGTAAATGGCGTTTTACTCGGACAGAATTTGGGATAGATAAACATTGTTTACGAGGAGTACTGAGCGGTTACGAGGCCTGTGTAATAGCAGTCATATGACAGTTTATACATGGAGCCAGCGTTTTAATGTTATGGAGATATGGTCTTAAGTTTGATTTTTTATACAGGTTATTGTTATATAATATTTCGTTGATATGAAATGTAATGTATTGCAAGTGTATTTTTCCAGATTGGTTGATGTGGCCTTGTTCATTTATTAACACATAAAACAGGAGTACTTAATGGCTTCATCTTTGTTTTAATTATTCATTTATAGATGTATTTATAAATAATATGATGTGGCATGTCATACGTGTTTTCAAAGCTTCTCAAATGACAATTACACATATTCAGATATATGCACACATGTGTTCACACGCAGACAGGCACAGACAGACACAGACAGACATACACTGTGTCACCCAGACGCAGACATTTACTTACAAAGACACATATATCCACACACCCATGCACACAGCCACGCACACACCATACCTATGCATGCATGCATGTAGGTATGTATGTAGGTATGTACGGTGTGTGTGTGTGGTGTGTGTGTACACGAAACACTATACTGACAATGAAGACCACGCACGCACATATAACATACATAACATGCATACATGCATACTACATACATACATGCATGCATGCATACTACATACATACATATATGCATACTGCATGCATACATACATGCATACATGCATACTACATACATACATACATACATACATACACCAAAGGGCACTGACACAATTCATATCCCACTTGCAATAACGCACATTCCCGATTGAATTTCCTTTTAGAATTCAAAGAGGCATTCTGTCTCTTTGACAAAGACGGTGATGGCACCATCACAACCAAAGAGTTGGGAACCGTCATGAGGTCACTAGGTCAGAACCCAACAGAGGCAGAGTTGCAAGACATGATCAACGAAGTTGATGCTGATGGTAAGTAATGTCTGATTTCAGGTTCTTGAAAGCAAAGTCCACTCTAGGTGTCCGACTGTGTAATATGTATGTGCCAGTAAATCATATAAGATTGTAATGGTAAATCGTATTTGCGATATGATAAGCGTATCCTCAACCAAAGGTGGCACCGTCACAAAGTCAAAGTCAGTCGTTCGCATGAGAAAGAAAAAAATAACGTCATAAGTGAGAACAGGGAATTGGCAATCATTTTAGTCACTGAAGATGGAAAAAAAGTTGAAAAATCAAATGTTTTTAAATAGATGAACCTTCATGAAATTTAAAAAGAAAACATCTTTTAATTCCACTTGGTATTAATTCACTTGTCTCAAATATTTTCTGTGAAAACAATATTGGAACTCAGAGAGATGGAACATAATGGTTGTAGAGTTTTAAAAATATTTTGAATTTGTAGTTTTTAGTTATTTTCATTTTTAAATCAGGTAACGGCATCATCGACTTCCCTGAATTCCTGACGATGATGTCGAAGAAGTTGCAAGGTGCCGACAGTACGGACGAGCTGAGAGAAGCATTCCTGGTTTTTGACAAGGATGGGGATGGGTTCATCAGCGCTAAGGAGTTGAGACACGTCATGACGAATCTGGGAGAGAAGTTGACAGATGATGAGGTGGAGGAGATGATGAGAGAAGCGGATGGGGACGGTGATGGGCAGGTCAATTACGACGGTGAGTGGTCAGTTATGGATGTATGTTGGTGGTGTGGCTGTTGTGGTTGATGCTGTTTGGATTGTAGCCTATGATGGGCAACTAACTAACTCACTCACTCACATATGTCCAATGATGTTACGGCCAGTTGCATTCCTTGCTTGAGGATGTTTTGTGTTCACATCATCTCTGGGCCGAATGGTTAAAGCGATCGCACGTCACGCCATAGACCCGGGTTCGAGTCCCCACATGGGTACAATGTGTGAAGCCCATTGCTGGTGTCCCATGCCATGATATTGCTGGAATATTTATAAAAGCGGCGTAAAACCATACTCACTCACATCGTCTCTTATGTGGCAGACTAACATATGTGTACATATAGCTGTTAATTAATATAAGGTAGATTATTATTAGCTATTAAAAAGTCGTAAGGTGTGTGACATTGTTACCATTTATTTACTTGTACATTTATATTTAACAAGAGGAATATAATACTAGTTAGAATATTAATTATTAGTACAGTTGAATATTAGTTATGTTTTATACTTTAGCATTTTATATTTAAAAAAATAATCCATAGTTCTGCATAGTAAGCTTTACTCTCGGTTTAACAACCACTTATTGTCACTAGGCATGTTTTTGCCTTACAGCACAATTTGCCCCAGCGTGCCAGGCCGGGACCATTGTCTCAGTGATAAGCACTGACTGCCACTTTCAGTGTTCAGATTTTAAACTGAGATGATATGTTACTTCTGAAGGAAAGACACATGATATATATTTTCAAAGGTTTTTCGAATCATTTCCTATCATGTGAAGATTTTTGGGACATAACACAACATTTCTTCAGACTTGAGATTTGGCAGCAAAGATGCTTGACTACGTGTTATCAGCATAACTCACTCACTCACTGAATTAGCTTCTCTTTCAGAGTTTGTGAAGATGATGACTGGGAAATAAAGAGGATTCTGGACTTCTCAAGATGGCGGATGACAATATGATTTGGAATAGCACAGACACATATCCCTACTAGTGTATCTAGCGTAAAATAAAATGTTCTTTTTTGTACCGATTAGGTCTGTCCTTTACGTAAGAAATAACTAAAAACAATACTAAAAATATATTTACATAATTAACGAAGATTTCGACACATAAAATACATGTCACATAAACAATCACATGACTCCTGAACATGCTGTCTGGTTGTGAAGAGCTGCGTCCCTTAGCTGTGTCGGGATCTTCTGCGGATGGATTTGAAAACAAGTTTCGTGTCTTTTATCTTTGCCATTGGCCAGGCAGCGTCATACCCGTCAACTTTACCACCTCAGTATCCGTTTCCCTGCACATGTATTCCACACGCTATGATACTGTTAAGGGTGGAATTACTGGGAGAATGTTATGGAGTTCTATTTATTTATGTTATCGTATTCATATAAAAATGGCAGAAGACAATAGTACGTATCATTAAAACATTGAAATGACATTGTTAAACAAGTGATTTTCTTAATATTTACGCCAGTTCACAGAATGTTACGTTAAATAAGACGGAGGTTTGATTTTCACACACTGAAATACGAAATATATTGAATGCACATCTTTTTGGTGTATACGTACGGAGTGAGCCTACTACAGTTGCCCACTAGTATTGCCGTTCCACGTCGTCATGGGAGGTGTAAGCCAGAGTCGCTAAGTCAATGAGTGAGGGGTAGGACTTGGATGACCGAGACTCTTATCTATCCTCACCACATTCATGTACAGGCGGGGCGGTGGGGTAATCTAGTGGTTAAAGCGTTTGCTCGTCACGCCAAAGACCCGGGTTCGAATCCCCACATGGGTACAATGAGTGAAGCCCATTTCTGGTGTCCCCCGCCGTGATATTGCTGGAATATTGCTAAACGCGGCGTAAAACCAAACTCAGTCAGTCAGACAGTCATGTACAGGCTCACATTCATACAATGATTAAAGCACACCAGGTTCTATACTCACAAAGTTACTTTGCCTCTGTCCATCTCTCCAAATACGACTTCATCACAAGACAAGGTATTGAAACGTGGAAAATGAATGACGGCGATTGGCCTCGGCCAATGTAAAAGTCCAAACCACTCTACTTTTTTTAAAGGTATCTTTTTTAAGGGTTGGAGTCTGATCTAACCTTGATAACATGCCTGAATACTTTGGTTCATTAAATCAAATGGCAACGATCGCATGAAACAATCAACCTAACAAAAGTACGAGCATCTGTAATCCCAAACTGTAACATATGTTAGCCGGCTCCATCAACTCCATCTATTGAAGTCTACTTCATCATCGAGGTCAAGCAAACAATATACTTAGGTATTGTGATCTGGGTGCCGTTGTACAAAGCGATCTTAGAGCTAAGGTGGCCGTAACTCCGATACCTTAGCATAGACTTAAGGTAGTCTTAGTGCTAAGGTTGTTTTGTACAACGGGACCCTGGGAATTAAGGAACAGCGTTGAACACTACATGCAATCCTCCTCTGCTAGAAATGTAATTAGTGGTCCCTTTATTGCAGGTAAAGGTACAAGGAAATAGTCGAGGATATTCCTTAATTGTTACCATAGCAACATTTATCCATTAGGACAAGTCCGAATGTAAATGTTAATAAGGGACATAACTCTCGGTTGATACGGCTTTACAAAAGAGGTGAGCAGGTACACTAAACACCGGCATTTCTAAGCCTGGTTAAAATGAAAACTATGTCAATAAATCGGATGAACGCAGTATCCTGCAATAATGAAAACATATGCTACCGCAAAGAAAACCAAATCCAATATTTGCATCACATGACAATAATCTCGCTATTGTAACGCCAGCAAGAAGCTATTACATTGAACATAGAATATTCTCTTGAGTCAGGTAGCGAAAAAAACGCAAAGCTGGCTTGTAAAGTGGCAGGCTTTGTTATCGTAACGAACTGTCATTTCATAATGAGCTGAGTGATCGATCTGTACACGTTTCTCTCAAAACGCTGATGCTGTCGTCCATGACGCCGCCTGATGAGGATCGATCTGCTCAGTGACATGAAACGGTGGTTCTTGCAGCACCAAGAAATGGATAGGACACGGAGAGTTGAGAATCATAATCAGCAGTGAAACAGATACAATATTGTCAGACTCTGAAACTAAAGCAGGTGTTTGTTAATCAGGTCGATGGTGTACTTTTGAATACGGTCTGATAAAGTCATGCTTTATTCATGAAACATATTTATAGGATCTGTTGAGAAGGATGATCTCCCTAAGGAACATATCGATACCTTGAACGTGTATCTCTGAGGATGAAGATCATTAACAATTCTTTTGATCAAATGACACATAACAGTGATGGAAATTTAGCATGAAATGCACGGTTTCCTTATCATGGTCTTAATGTTAAAGATTAATGATTCAAAGGGTCTTTAGATTAAAATACTACAGAAGTAAATGTCGTGGGGTGAGTTTGTGGGGTTTACCGCCTCTTTAAACAGCATGTCAGTGATGTCCCAGCGTGTCAGCGTCATGGAGGAGGAAGCTGATGTCAATGATGCAGGTGTAAGACGTTCACCACGTTGACGCAACCACGTTAATCTACAGTGGTTTTGACAACAACAAAAACAGCATTAGGACCACGATCACAAAATGACCACTGTTCTTAGCATAGCAAATAACATAGCTTCAATTGACAGTGGGTGTATTTTGACTTGTAAAATACTGTTATAAGGTTTCAAAAGGCATAATGATTTGTTATACAAGAACAGTATCACAAATCCATTATTGAGAACTGCGGCTTCGTGATAGAAGTGATGCTATCATTGATTGGAAATTAATCAAGGGATATAGGACATAATAACTGCCAATAACAGAACACAAAAGTCTCTTAAAGTATCAATTAACGGTGATTCATATAAGTGTTCAAATATAGAGATAATATGTTCTACAAAGACATCTGGAAATTTGTGATGACTTGTAGAAGTCCATTTTTTAAATATCCATCCCGGGCGACCATGTCAACACAATTAAGAACTGTCGAGAGCATTAATTAGTTTCTGGAATGAACGGGACCTGTGACAGTAAGAGCTCATGAAAGTTTAATCCTGCTTATGTCCTTGACTACCTCGTCTCTGTGGGGAGGCGGTATCGACCACCACCACGTTCACTGGCAAACATACGTGGAGAGAAGTGGGTTTCCAAAACAAATTATCATCTTTCCCAGTTGTCAGTTGCCTCATCTCGGTCGCCACGTAATTCTTATCCTTCAACACAAGGTGGGTGGTTCCCTTAAACAAGGCATTGTCTTGCGTAACATCCAAACAATGATCTTCCAAGTCATCATTTCGTTTTCTTATCACTAATGTCAGAGACCATATACCGATATACCGGTATATGGTCTCCGCTAATGTTAATCGTTGGCAGCATTGATGTATGTATGTGTTAAGCTGGATTAGGAATGCTTAAGACAGGCGTGTGGTGTTAAGAAGCAGATCCGGGAATGCAGTTCGATACTTTTCGACATTTCTGTAGACATGACCTTATCGTCACTATGTGGCGAACCGTGTAAACAAGGAGGTATGTTCTCATAAATAATACATTTACAGATGGATCAGATCTCCGAGAAAGACCTCCAAGGTGAGATTAGTGTGCCGTCACGGGCACCTGTAGTGTGACCTTGAAAACTTCGTGAAGTAAGACAACTGCACTCTTTGATGTATTCCATGTTGCCAAACTATTAAGTGCTGCACACTGCACACTGCACACTGCATACAAGTACACTGAAAACCTTTGGGAACGTAACTCCCTCGCGATAATTATTTTTTAAGGATAGATTAAAATAGGGACATTACTTTACATAAACACCGGTGTCATCACTTGTGTTTGGTGATCCAGGGGGCAAGACTCTACAAACCTACCTGTTATTTTGAGTCTGGGGATGACAGTATGCACCTACCTGTTAGATAAATATCTGGGCAAAGCACTATACACCTACCTTTTTTTATGTCTGTGTATGGCGCTTTACACCTACCTGTTATTTTGTGTCTGGGGATGACAGTATACACCTACCTGTCATTTTATTTCTATGTATGACACTATACACCTACCTGTCATTTTATTTCTATGTATGACACTTTACACCTACCTGTCATTTTATTTCTATGTATGACACTAAACACCTACCTGTCATTTTATTTCTATGTATGACACTATACACCTACCTGTCATTTTATTTCTATGTATGACACTATACACCTACACTGTCTGCCATTTTATTTCTATGTATGACACTTTACACCTACCTGTCATTTTATTTCTATGTATGACACTATACACCTACCTGTCATTTTATTTCTATGTATGACACTTTACACCTACCTGTCATTTTATTTCTATGTATGACACTAAACACCTACCTGTCATTTTATTTCTATGTATGACACTATACACCTACCTGTCATTTTATTTCTATGTATGACACTATACACCTACCTGTCATTTTATTTCTATGTATGACACTATGAACCTACCTGCCATTTTATTTCTATGTATGACACTTTACACCTACCTGTCATTTTATTTCTATGTATGACACTATACACCTACCTGTCATTTTATTTCTATGTATGACACTATACACCTACCTGTCATTTTATTTCTATGTATGACACTATACAACTAACTGTCATTTTATATCTATGTATGACACTATGAACCTACCTGTCATTTTATATCTATGTATGACACTATACACCTACCTGTCATTTTATATCTATGTATGACACTATACACCTACCTCTTGCATATATATCTGAGCATAACACAATACACCAATATGTTTTGCCATGGCACTATGAACCTACCTGTCAGATATATGTCTAATTTTATGTCTGGCATGATAATATACACTTAGCAGTTCAGATATATATCTGGTCTATTCGTGAGACGCAGCATTATATACAAATGCATAACGTAAACTCATCCTTATAATTATGGATTTAGCTGTTCATTAATGCTAGAGCGCACATGTGACTGTACCCGTAAACATGTTAAAGCGCACATGTGACTGTACCCGTAAACATGTTAAAGCGCACATGTGACGTGACTGTACCCGTAAACATGTTAAAGCGCACATGTGACTGTACCCGTAAACATGTTAAAGCGCACATGTGACTGTACCCGTAAACATGTTAAAGCGCACATGTGACTGTACCCGTAAACATGTTAAAGCGCACATGTGACTGTACCCGTAAACATGTTAAAGCGCACATGTGACTGTACCTGTAAACATGTTAAAGCGCATGTGACTGTACCCGAGACACATGTTAAAGCGCACATGTGACTGTACCCGTGAACATGTTAAAGCGCACATGTGACTGTACCCGTAAACATGTTAAAGCGCACATGTGACTGTACCCGTAAACATGTTAAAGCGCTCATGTGACTCTACCCGTAAACATGTTAAAGCGCACATGTGACTGTACCCGTAGACATGTTAAAGCGCATATGTGACTGTACCCGTAAACATGTTAAAGCCGCACACGTGACTGTACCCGTAGACATGTTAAAGCGCACATGTGACTGTACCCGTAGACATGTTAAAGCGCACATGTGACTGTACCCGTAGACATGTTAAAGCGCACATGTGACTGTACCCGTAAACATGTTAAAGCGCACATGTGACTGTACCCGTAAACATGTTAAAGCGCACATGTGACTGTACCCGTAAACATGTTAAAGCGCACATGTGACTGTACCCGTAAACATGTTAAAGCGCACATGTGACTGTACCCGTAGACATGTTAAAGCGCACATGTGACTGTACCCGTAGACATGTTAAAGCGCACATGTGACTGTACCCGTAAACATGTTAAAGCGCACATGTGACTGTACCGTAGACATGTTAAAGCGCACATGTGACTGTACCCGTAAACATGTTAAAGCGCACATGTGACTGTACCCGTAAACATGTTAAAGCGCACATGTGACTGTACCCGTAAACATGTTAAAGCGCACATGTGACTGTACCCGTAAACATGTTAAAGCGCACATGTGACTGACTGTACCCGTAACATGTTAAAGCGCACATGTGACTGTACCCGTAAACATGTTAAAGCGCACATGTGACTGTACCCGTAGACATGTTAAAGCGCACATGTGACTGTACCCGTAGAACATGTTAAAGCGCATGTGACTGTACCCGTAAACATGTTAAAGCGCACATGTGACTGTCCCGTGTAAACATGTTAAAGCGCACATGTGACTGTACCCGTAGACATGTTAAAGCGCCACATGTGACTGTACCCATAAACATGTTAAAGCGCACATGTGACTGTACCCGTAGACATGTTAAAGCGCACATGTGACTGTACCCGTAGACATGTTAAAGCGCATTATGTGACTGTACCCGTAGACATGTTAAAGCATGTGATCTGTACCCGTAAACATGTTAAAGCGCACATGTGACTGTACCCGTGAACATGTTAAAGCGCACATGTGACTGTACCAGTAAACATGTTAAAGCGCACATGTGACTGTACCCGTAAACATGTTAAAGCCGCCATTACGTAACTGTACCCGTAGACATGTTAAATCGCACATGTGACTGTACCAGACATGTTAAAGCCACATTACTGTAACTCCTCGTAAACATGTTAAAGCGCACATGTGACTGTACCCAAACATGTTAAAGCGCGCATACGTGACTGTACCCGAGACATGTTAAAGCGCACATGTGACTGTACCCAGAACATGTTAAAGCGCACATGTGACTGTACCCATAAACATGTTAAAGCGCACATGATGACTGTACCCAGACATGTTAAAGCGCATTACGTGACTGTACCCGTAAACATGTTAAAGCGCATTATGTGACTGTACCCGTAAACATGTTAAAGCGCACATGTGACTGTACCAGACATGTTAAAGCGCACATGTGACTGTACCCGTAGACATGTTAAAGAGCACATGTGACTGTACCGAGTAGACATGTTAAAGCGCCATTGTGACTGTACCCGTAAAACATGTTAAAGCGCACATGTGACTGTACCCGTAAACATGTTAAAATGTGACTGTACCCGTAAACATGTTAAAGCGCATTGTGACTGTACCCAGACATGTTAAAGCCACATGTGACTGTACCCGTAAACATGTTAAAGCGCACATGTGACTGTACCCGTAGACATGTTAAAGCGCACATGTGACTGTACCCGTAAACATGTTAAAGCGCACATGTGACTGTACCCGTAGACATGTTAAAGCGCACATGTGACTGTACCCGTAAACATGTTAAAGCGCACATGTGACTGTACCCGTAAACATGTTAAAGCGCAATGTGACTGTACCGTGTAAACATGTTAAACATGTGACTGTACCCATAAACATGTTAAAGCGCACATGTGACTGTACCCGTAAACATGTTAAAGCGCTCATGTGACTGTACCCATAAACATGTTAAAGCGCACATGTGACTGTACCCGTAAACATGTTAAAGCGCACATGTGACTGTACCCGTAAACATATCTTCCTCGCCCTTCTCATCCTATGTACCTAACTTGTTTATTGTAGTATTGTCAATAATCGTGTTCCTTTATCACTTTTGTTCTCTGTATATGCCTCAGTGTATCGGGAAGCATTCTCGCTGTACGACAAGGATGGCAGCGGCTACATCGCAGAGGAGGAGTTGGGGACGGTGATGAGGTCGCTTGGACAGAATCCCACGAATGCCTATCTGCGTGAAGCCATAAGACAGGCAGACACCGATGGTATGATTGTGTCATCTTTCAATATTGTTTAATAACTGGAAGAGCGAAACATATTGTCTAGTTTTTCTTGTGTTTGTTTGTTGTCGAACGCCTCTCTCAGCAACATCCCAGCAATGGCGGTGAGTCTGGACCAGACAATCCAGTGATCAACAGTTGACCATGGTGAATAAGAGTAATAGTGGTTATGTACTTCTGTAAGCTACACTGTATTTCAGCTAAATATGTCAGTTAGCATGGGAGTATTCAGGGCATGTACTTTTACCACTGTTGCCAAACCCACGAGCATGCTGCTCACGAACAAAACCTCATATTTATGCCAGCTCTGGGACATGGCCTCTGTTCAGCTGTACATGAAGCACTATACTGAAAATGAAGACCATTCCAATCACCAAACTCACTCTCGTCACTATAACGGGACAAAGTTCCCCAATACACCAATGCCTCACGGATCAGATACTAAGGCTCTGAGTGAGTGAGTGAGTGATGAGTGAGTGAGTGAGTGGGTGGGTGAGTGAGTGAGTGAGTGAGTGAGTGAGTGAGTGAGTGAGTGAGTGAGTGAGTGAGTGAGTGAGTGAGTGAGTGAGTGAGTGAGTGAGTGAGTGAGTGAGTGAGTGAGTGAGTGAGTGTGAGTGAGTGAGTGAGTGAGTGAGTGAGTGAGTGAGTGAGTGAGTGAGTGAGTGAGTGAGTGAGTGAGTGAGTGAGTGAGTGAGTGAGTGAGTGAGTGAGTGAGTTTAGTTTCACGCGGCACTCAGGAACATTCCAGCTATATGGCGGCGGTCTGTAAATAATCGAGTCTGGATCAGACACTCCAGTGATCAACAGCATGAGCATCGATCTGCGCAATTGGGTCGCGATGACCAGTACTAAGGCTCTGTAACAAGACTGCTTGACAGACCGCACTGATGCCTTATTCGTTGCTCATGTGTTCACAATGTGTCTGTCTGGTCCCAATTATCTACAGGCCGTGATACAGCTAGATTATTTCTGGTTTTGGTTTGTTGTTTTACGCCGCACTTGGCAATATGCCAGTTATTTGGTGGCGGTCTGTAAATCTGATAGTCTGGACCAGACTATCTGGTGATCAACATACATGTATGATGACAAGTATAGAGTTAGACGCTGCTTGCAACAAGCATGGGTTGCTGCAGGTAGAACAATACTGGCTGAGTCAAAATCAACATTCACCCAACTATCTCAACTCACAAAATTCACATCCGTGAAGATCCTGGTTGGAATTAATACTCAGTTACCCATGCTTGTCGTAAGATACGACTAACGGATCAGGTGGTCAGGCTCGCTGACATGGTTGACATGCCATCGTATCCCAATTGCATACATCGATGGTCATGCTGTTGATCACTGGATTGTCTGGTCCAGACTCGATTATTTACAGACCGCCGCCATATAGCTGGAATATTTCTGAGAGCGGAGTAAAACTAGACTCACTTACTCACTCACTCACTCACAGAGCTCACTATGTTCCAGGTAGCGGACAGTTAGGATTTGAGGAGTTCGCCCTGATGATGCACGAGAAGAGCAAGGAGAAGGAGAACCCTAACGCTCTGAAGGACGCCTTCAAGGTGTTTGACAAGAACGGAGACGGGACAATAAGCGCAGGAGAGTTGTACGACATCATGACCCAGCTCGGGGAGGCACTGTCGAGAGCGGAGGTGGATGAGATGATCCGGGAAGCGGACAAGGACAAGAACGGGGTGATTGACTATGAAGGTGAGCGGATGATGAATTATAGCAATCTCTACCGACGTTGTAGATACAACAATGTACTCAATGTCGTCAGACTTTGTATCCTTGGCCAGTTGTAGAAACGCTTTAGACATCATATGTATCAAGAATCAATGCTCCAGGTGCTATATATTAGGAATAGGTATCTTACTCGCGATATATGAGGAAAATAATCTCCTGTTATCAAAATACCAGGATTCAATGTCCTGGTTACACAACAACAGGATTCAGAGCCCTCTACAAAATTGATTAGGATTCAACTTCCTGGTTACAGGTAATCAGGATTCAATCTCCCAGTTACAAATAATCAGGATTCAATCGCCTAGTTACAAGTAATCATGGTTCAACGTCCTAGTTACAAAATACAAGTATTCAACTTCTAGTTACAAGTATTCAGGATTCAACATATAGGTTACAACAAGGATGTAACTCCTAGTTACAAGTATTCAGGATTCAAATATTAGTTACAACAACAAGGATTTAACTTCTAGTTACAAGTATTCAGGATTCAAATATTAGTTACAACAACAAGGATTTAACTTCTAGTTACAAGTATTCAGGATTCAAAATATTAGTTACAAAATACAAGGATTTAACTTTTAGTTACAAGTATTAAGGATTCAAAACATTAGTTACAACAAGGATGTAACTCCTAGTTACAAGTATTAAGGATTCAACATATTAGTTACAACAAGGATTTAACTCCTAGTTACAAGTATTCAGGATTCAACGTCCTAGTTACAAATAATCAGGATTCAATCGCCTAGTTACAAGTAATCAGAGTTCAACGTCCTAGTTACAAAATACAAGCATTTAACTCCTAGTTACAAGTATTCAGGATTCAACATATTAGTTACAACAAGGATGTAACTCCTAGTTACAAGTATTCAGGATTCAACGTCCTAGTTACAAATAATCAGGATTCAATCGCCTAGTTACAAGTAATCAGAGTTCAACGTCCTAGTTACAAAATACAAGCATTTAACTCCTAGTTACAAGTATTCAGGATTCAACATATTAGTTACAACAAGGATGTAACTCCTAGTTACAAGTATTCAGGATTCAACGTCCTAGTTACAAAATACAAGGATTCAACTCCTAGTTAAAATTTATCAGGATTCAACGCCCTAGTCACGATATATCGAGATTCATTACAGTACTTTGTAATCCAGTAACGTTAGTAGGAACCTGCCCTGTGGATACCAGATCCTGCCAGACTATTGGTACTTACATAACGGCTCAGTTTTAGTCCTCGACAGTTAACGACAGACCCCGATTCATTTTAGTCGGGTTAGCGTAAAAAGAAGCGACAAAACCATTCCCATCATCACTTGAAATCTCAAACACATTTCTTGAAATAGAATCACGATATATCGCGATGATTAATTTTTTGAAGACAACTGCATGAGCACTAATACTTGCAAAGAAAATACAAGTCAATCTGTCGATAAGGAATGCTACTTACATCAATATACAAAAACTGCCGAGTGCACTTTTCCAGAAAAAAAAACGGTTTTGGTACCTATTAGCATTAGCATTGAGTGGTTGCAATCCCAGTAACAACTGTCTGTCAGGTGACTGCGGAAAGTTATATTTAGAAGTGAACTTTGCCAATATACGGTTTGACATACAGCATCTGCTTGCTTGTATTCCTTCCGTTCCTGTTAGTACAGCCCGTATGCCGTGAATATTCCTAAAAATAGCCGCTCGCAATCACGTGACTGCCAATTCTTACCCGGATGTCTATGATGATGAGTTTCTCGAAGAGTGCACTTTGCCACTTATCTATGAATTAATGACACTATAATGGAACGAAAATTCATTTACCGTAACAGTTATGTTTAGGAAATGAATTGTTTTAGGAAAAAGGGTATTTTCCAACTTACATTTTCTTTCTTTAAAGGAGAATTTTATAGAAGTGGAGAACTGATGTACACATTTGCTTTTCTAAATACATAAGATGACATTTGTATGTGACGTTGAAATTGTAATAAAAGTATTATATATTATACATGTGTCATATGCCCAAAAGACCCGTGAAGATCAGGGTAGGAATTTATCGTCAGTAGGGGCGGTGTGGTAGCCTAATGGTTAAAGCGTTGGCTCGTCACGCCGAAGACCCGGGTTCGAATCCCCACATGGGTACAATGTGTGAAGCCCATTTCTGGTGTCCCCCGCCGTGATCTTGCTGGAATATTGCTAAAAGCGGCGTAAAACCATACTCAGTCAGTCAGTCAGTCATCGTCAGTAACCCATGCTTGTCGTAAGAGGCGACTAATGGGTTCGGGTGGACTCGCTGACTTGGTTGACACATGTCATCGTATTTCAATTGCGTAGATCGATGCTCATGATGTTTGATCATTGGATTGTCTGGTTCAGACGCGATTATTTACAGACCGCCGCCATATAGCTGGAATATTGCTGAGTGCGGCGTTAAACAACAAACAAACCAAACAACTAAATCATAATATTTACCCAAAACGTTAGACTTCATACATTTCTCTTTTCATACAGAGTTCGCCGACATGATGTCCAAGATGGAATAGTCAACAACCAACTGCATGCTCAGCATCCGATGTCTCATGACCTTACGTATGTCGTGATGATCAACTCTATATTCCCATCATCTTACATGATGTCTAGTCACAATGTTGATATCCTGATAATCGATTCCACACATGGGTACAATGTGTGAAGCTCATTTTGGTGTCTCCCGCCGTGATGTTGTTGGAACATTGCTCAAAAGCGGCGTAAAACCCAACTCACTCACTCTCATCATCTCATCCCATCTGAAGTTCTCATCGTTTCAGCTGTACCTATGCGTATTAATTTGATGAGAAATGAGTTCGTCATACATGTCGCTGGCAACAGGAGCAGTGATGAGAGCAGGACGTGTGTCAATATCGCTGTCTAGAGTTGCGTCCCTTGGGCACTCTAAGGACCCTTGAGTTTGGGTTCGAATCCCGGCTCGCTCAGTATTTGATTCTAAGGTTTAATCTGCACTATTTTAATGCCCGATGGTTTCCTCAAAGTAATACCCTCATCACGACCTACTTACCTCATCATACTCTGATATTACTGGAATAGTGAAAAGTGGTTTTAGAACCCAAATCACCCATTCTTTGACATTCTTTAAAGCATGCCTAGCAATAACTTGAACAACACGACACATATTGTACAACACGTTTTTATGATATGCTTAACGACATGTTTTACATGCCCTGTGCAAAATAGCCACTGGCCCGCTAGCCCGTGGCTAGTAAAATTCCAGTCGGGCCAGTAAATCTCCACACTTACTGGCCCGACTGGCTGATGAATTTTCATGGGGTCATTTTGTAAAGATACCACTCCCTCTCCGACTTGTAAGTTATAATACACTTTTAAATCATGCAAGATTATGGCCTGATAAAAAATGTTCATCATATTAGCAGCTTAATGATGAAACCCGTGTCTACATTCCAATTTCGGATTAGTGAACTATTTTGTGGGCTAGAAACTTTCAGGCATTTGGAAACTATCTCGGACACTGTTTACATGCATAACATGTTTAACATCTTCTCATATTAGTATAACATTTGGAGAAACACCTACGAGCATCAACGCGTCACTGACATCTACCCTTAGTGAATTTCCTTGCTTTGGCAAAGATTATTCAACATTAATTCAATAAGATGATTCAGTACGTTATTTGGAGAAGCGAGTGGGGTAGTGTTTCTTGTATTACCCCTTGTCTGTGTGTCAGAGAATATGTAGAAAAAAAGTGAATTCGCGGGTCGCAGATCTCAAGTGGAGACAACCCTTCTCTCGCTATTGTAGGAGCGACGTCACCTACAATCGTCAATGCGTTATGACGTATCTTCGTACTTCATCTTCAATTACTTCCGAGAATCTGTTATTTTTGTTTTTTTTTTTTATTATTATTATTATTATTATTATTATTATTGTTATTATTATTATCATTATTATAGTCCGTTTGTACCGCGCTATTTCCATTCACAGTAAATGCTCAAAGCGCACAGAATTAAAAACATAGTCACTTGAGATGAAACTAGTCATCTGGATATGACATTCTGAAGAGATGAGTTTTGAGACTTCGTTTGAAGTCATGTAGATTAGAACAGTCTTTCAAAAAACATGAAGTCGCACATTTTTATTATGATTTCTGTGAAATACAGAAATCAATTGCTCCTCTATGGGTAATATTATGCAATGACAAGGGGAAGATAACTTTGTACAGTGTATAGTTTGATTTAGATGAACTTATACAGTTTCCAGGTTAGCGTGCAATTAAGCATACCTAATATTTTTCGAACTTTCAGTTTTCAGCTAATTGTGTTGTGATAGTAATGGCAATGACAATTAATTTGTGACATATTTAATTGCTGGCATCGATTGTTCCCGATAGCAGTAGACTATAATGTCAGACAGTTATCTGAGAAGCCGTGTACGTCATGGTTGTTTCTGAATAATTCATGAATTGTTCTTTTGCGATTGGAATCAAGAGATCCATTTATACCCAAATAAGGTCAACATTGTTTTCATACTTTCGGCATGACGATGTTCCTCGGTTCTTCGCAATAAAACGTGTACTGCTGATACAGCCTTTGTTGTGCTTAATTGCCTGCTTGCAGTTTATGCCAGCTTGCATCAACATTCGCCTTTTAAATTTCCATCCTTGACTTGCTGAGTTTGGTTTATGAACTTGCATTCAACATGTCGATATTTTTAAATTACCCATGTGGGGATTACCGGGTCTAGGAAAACAACTATTATGGGACATTTGAGGCATCGATGGTTTTTTTTTGTTCAATTTGATACACGATATACGGTACAGCATCACAATGCATCTTTTCTTTCCGGCGACACCAGGGATGGGTGAATGAGTATGGTTTTACGCCGCTTTTTGCAATATTCCAGCAATATCACGGCGGGGAGACCAGGTATAGGCTTCACATGCTGTACCCATGTGGGGAATCGAACTCGGGCCTTCGGCGTGACGAATGAACGCTTCAACCTCTGGGCTATCCCACCGATGAGAATGCATGTATTGTGTAACAAAATGCAAGTGATTTCCCAAGTTGATACCGACGTCAATTACCCATCTATTAAATGATTGTATATTACTCTTTCGGGTAAAATGACAGTGTAATACGTTTTCTATACACAGGTACGCTCAAATGTCACATCGCTTCATTGTTGACAGTTATACAATGCCACAAATTCATAAAATTCAACAAGGGGCAGATTTTATTACATTTACCTGTAGGTTGATATTTTATAAGATTTAAATATACATGAAAAAATATTTTTCAGATCATATTCTTACATTTGTTCAGGTAAATAATACGAGATATTTATACAGTTCAGGGTATTTCTATTACAATGTAATTGTGATAGCTTTTCTGAAACACAAAAATTTAAGAGACGAATGGTGGTTAGATAAATACACAATTCAAACATCGGAGCCACTTTTGTATGTATATTAGATCACATGAAATTAAAATAAAAACAGTCAATTGCCAAAGTAATTATCAATTCGCAAACGTAGAAAGAAAATTTAATATTGATTTTATGCCAGTAGCACCTAGAACCCTTCATGTATATTTTACGTCTCTCTTGTCTTGGAGTCAATTTCAACTGTCTACCTCAGCATATCTGACAACCTAATAGGAAAAGCTGACTGATATCATTTTCGCACGACATCGGTACATATTCAGAACACGACTGCCTGTACAGAAACACGAGCCCCGTCAATGGAACTGTTTACATATGAAAATTACCGTTTTCCCCAATCATGCAATGAACGCAAACATATCTCTAAGCAGTATCGATTACCCAGCCAGCCTGGCATCCTTTACCAGCAGCTCTCTGAAAACATGAAGTGTGTACCCTGTATCGAGTCACGGACGCCCTATATACTCAATCGTCATTTCAACAAGGGAGATATCATATTGATATAAATTAGGTTTACTTATTATTAATAATATATGATGGATCAAAACATTTTTTCAATAAAACGTCCCAAATGCCAAGTAGCAATCCACAAGTCAATGAACAAACAGAAGTTCCGTTAGTGCTGGGTGGTTGACTTGCAGCTGCCCGGACTCCAAAAGCTGTATTTCCAATGACTAGTTTTCGTCTACAGACAGCTTTACGACATGGCTCGCTGTACTACGCTTAACAATGAACACGCATCAATATTTAATGCATGAAGTGAAGACCTTGCCACAGATCATCGCGCTCGTAAGGAAGGTTGTGTTTTCTACATGGAATCCCGTTGACTTCGGAGTAGAAAGGATATCGGCAAGGACGCGTGTAACTTGTGGATAACGGTACACGTGCATGAGGCGATATAAGCAGCCTTGGCCATCTTGTACCCGTTTAACGGTTAATGACGTCTTAACAGTTACAGCTTGTGGCTAAGATGGTAAGTGCCCTCTCATCATAATATCATCGTATTATCACAAAATGTAAACAAACTGTTGATCTACTTGGAGGCTAGAGAGACTTAATATATCACTTGGTGTTTGACATACATGTTAATATCGCAGTTGGTATTGCATATTGATCACTGGTAAAATTAGACTAGGATCTCAGTGAATTGTGTGTTATGTTTTTTACGGTAGATTTTGACTCTAGGGGTTTCCCTTTCATTTAACAATGGGGATCACGTCAGCTGCATTTAAGGAAGCAGTTGTTTGGCTTTGTGTTGTCATGCCTGCAAGGTCCTACTGGCTAGAGGAAGTGTTCTTGGAACTGGAACACAAGACTCTCAGGAATAATGAACCAGGCTCTTTCTGTCTTGCAGGTAGATAAGGTTCCTGCTGAGAAACTGAATGGTAAGTTATGATTATTATTATTACTCTCTTAGAACCAAAAACTGTCAATTCGTGTATTATTCGTTTGTCGTGAGCATTGAATGAGGAGGGATTAATGTTTCATTTGGCTTCTGTCGCCATTTTAGTCATTTGATGGCGGAATATGAGTTCCATACCATTTCTAAGGGATTCGAACTGGTCTGCGTACCCGAGCGAACGATCCAGCCATTAGATCTCTTTGTATTACCGTTAATTTGTTATTAAATAGAGTATAATCTTTTAACAATCGCAAACAGTTGGAAGAAACCATTAAACTAAAAAACTTAGTAATAGGGAATCCATTCTTGAATTAACTTTGACAGCAGCGTTTGAGTAACAGATGCCCTACATACACAGCCGTCATTCCAACAAGGGACATATTATATTGATGTAATTGTTTACTTATTATTAATAATATAGATGGAAGAAACACATGTTTTTCTATAAAACGTCCCAAATGCCAAGTAGTCATCCACAAGTCAATGAACAAACAGAAATTCCTTTAGTCCTACTGGGTGGTTGACTTGCAGCTTCGCTTGCCCGTAGGCCTATCGTTGTACACTCACTGTGCTGTAAATGTACATGTCGATTTATGTGTCACTGTGAGCGTCTGAAGAGATTAAATGGACACTACTTCTAAAGTCCGAGGGCCACGTTGACAGCCTGGTGTTTCATTTATTTCAAACCGCCTCCATGGTGTAGTGGTTAGAGCGTCCGCCCGGATAGCGGAAGGTGGCGGGTTCGATCCCGCGTCATACCAAAAGACGTTAAAATATGGTACTTGTTGGTCCCTACCTGGCGCTCGATATGAATGGGTACAACAAGGACTGGTCGGCTCGGAGTCAGTATAATGTGTCTGAGTGGGGCATTCATGCTTCACTGTGGCATGGTATCTCAGTGAGCTAGCACTATAAAACCAGCTTAAGTCTGCACTTGTACAAGCAGCCAAACATACACACGCATGCACGTCGTCATATGAGCGAAATATTAAGTGCGACGTTAAACCCCATTTCACCTCATTTATTTCGCCACTTTGACGGGCATACACTTGCTACTGGGCCACCCATCAATCAATGATGAGCTCGTACTGAACAAGTTGCTTCGTGTAACCTACAATCGTTCCCATAAAACACAACGCGAGTCCTAAATCACCTTTTAATCAGTATTACCGTCATCAAACAGAATACCAAGAGGCGTTCCAGTTGATTGACAAGAACAGCGATGGCGTGCTGACGTTGCCGGAACTGCGGTCGGTGATGAAGTTGCTGGACAAGGACCCCACCGACGAAGAACTGAGGGACATGATGAGGGAAGCTGATGAGGACGGTAAGGTCACAATAGATTCTATATGACACATGTTTGAAGCACATACGTGAACTCTGTATAGATGAAGGTTGGATCTGGTCTCCAGCAATCCATGCTTATCGCAGGAAGCGACTAACGGGATCAGGTGGTCAGACTCACTGATGGTTGGTGCATGACAGCGTATCCCAATTGCGTAGATCGATGTCGATGATGTAAGTCACTAGATAGTCTGGTCCAGACTCATTTATTTACAGATCATCAACATGTGAGTTGAGTGAGTGAGGTTTTTGTTTTACGCTGCTTTTAGCAATATTCCATCAATATCACGGTGGGGGACATACAAATGGGTTTCACACATTGTACCCATTTGGGGAATCGAACCCGGGTTTTCGGCGTCACGAGCGAACGCTTTAACCACTAGGCTACCCCACCGCCCCTTGCTGAAATATTGCTGAGTGCGATGTAAACAAACAAATCTTACCCTTTAAGATGCGTAGTTGTTTGTTAGTTGTTTAATGCCGCATTCAGCAATATTCCAGCTACATGGAGGCGGTAAGTAAATAATCGAGTCTGGACCAGACAATCCAGTGATCAATGGCATGAGCATCGATCTACGCAATTGAAATAAGAGTAAGAGAGATATTTGTTGGAGACACAATACGGCCATTGGTTAAAGACATGCATTTTTAGAGCATTATTTATTACGGTATAAATATTGACTTGGAAAACATGAGTCACTAATGCACTGTATAACATTTACATTAACACACAGCTGCGTCATCTCACAAGCTAAAGGTGAATCGTGTCAATCTGCGTCACAGGACGCATCTTAACACCACCATTCTTCCTTCCATATTTGTTCGACTTCTTGTAGCGTGAACCTATGAAGATCCGGGTTAGGATTGATCTTCAGCAACCCATGCTTGTCGCAAGAGGCGACCAGTGTGCGAAATAGCCACTGGCCCGCTGGCCCGTGGCTACTAAAAATCCAATCGGGACAGTAAATCTCCACAATCACTGGCCCGACTGACTAGTGAATTTTCATGGGGTCATTGTTTTTTTATGGTAATTTACCTTTTTGTAAACTTTTGCTTAGTTTCTACATTCAAATTTCGGGCTAGTGAATTATTTTGTGAGCTAGTAACTTTCTAGCATAGCTAGCCCGACTGGCTAGCAAAATTTAGAAACTATTTGGCACACTGGAGGCGACTGACGGGATTGGGTGGTCAGGCTCGCTGACTTGGTTAACACATGACATTTGTTCCCAGTCAGTGCTCATGCTGTTGATCACTGGATTGTCTAGTCCAGACTCGATTATTTACGGACCCCCGCCATATAGCTGGAATATTGCTGAGTGCGGCGTAAAACTAAACTCACCCACTTACTCTAGCAGCGTGACAACCCTTCCATTGAAGCAAAGTAGCATCTTTTACATGATTTCATTGCATTACGACTTGAGCCAAAATGCATGGAAACCGGTTGTGGTTTCACGAACGTTTTCCTTGCTCTAATCACAAAGGCATGGAAACCGGTTGTGGATTTCATGAACGTTTTCTTTTCTCAGATCTTTTTGTTGCGAATTATATCCACAGGAAAAGGAAATATTAAATTACCAAGCATGAGCGGTGGTACCAATGATAAGATTGATTAAAGGGCATTCCTGTAGTAGACATAGGCTGAAATGCATCCATTGGAATACATTCAGAAACAACGTGTGTCTCGCAGCTACCATATCGCATAGAAAACAGAGAACCAGTCTTTATTGTATGGCATGCTTGCTCAATTCAACCGGAGACCCCATTGGCATGTCAATAGATGAGGGTGAAGAGAAATCAATTCAATTTTTTTAAAACATATCAGTGAGTATATAATATTTATCAGCAGTAGGCCATAGAGACACTATCATCCAGGTGACTGTACGTGATGTCCTTGGAAAGCATAATGCTTTCACCTATAGTATCGCTGAAATAGCTTTGTGCAAGATGATTCGGACGAGGTTGAAGTAAGTATGTTAAACTGACACCAGATAAGCATTAATTATGGAGACACTTTCTGTTGTTATATCTGCCCATATAACCTTTCACCAGCAGTTCCAGCAAACGGTTAAACAGTTCGCGATCATCATGTTGCAAGGGCGAGCGAAGAAGCCTGTGTCAAGTTTCTTTCAAATACCTTCAAACGCCTCCGTAACGCAATTCACTGGTCTCGTTTAAGTGCACCCATTCTTTTAATCTGCGCTTTGCAACGTAGAGTGGCATTCATCCCGCCTCGTCTCATTCTCTATTCAGCCTTGACCCACTCCACACATGTCTTGCTGCCATCAAAGCCATTCAAGTAATCAGTCGGTGCCTGTCCTGACAAGCGTTTGGCATTAGGCCTGTCATGATTAAAGACAAATGAGAGCTTTAATGATTTCTTCTTGCCAACTTTGGCTTATGACAAAAATAACGCGAGATGATTTAATCAGATCTTTGTCGTGTTAGAGGTAAAGGTGTGGATGGTTGGGTCAACATGACCCTCGAGTATTTTTAAGTGTATCTTACTATCAAGATAGTAAATAAATAAAAACAAAAAAATTAATAATTTTATTGGTATGAATATATGATATACCGTTACTGGGGAAATGAAAATGATGGGGTTTTTTTAACTTTTATATTCTCGGTTGACATTATCCGCGTGTGTGTTTCGTGTTACAGGTGACGGGAGCGTGACGTTCCTCGAGTTCGTGAAGCTGATGGAGAAGAAGAGAGGAGAGCCTGACGAGGAGCAGCTACTGAACTACTTCCGCATATTCGACAAGGACGGGGACGGTCGAATAGGTGCAGCGGAGTTGAGGAACGTCTTCACCAGCCTTGGGGAGAAAATCTCAGATGAGGAGGTTGACAACATCATCAGAGAAGCGGACGCCGACTGTGACGGACACATCAACTTTGAAGGTTTGTATGTTCGTTATCAAGGTTATAATGTTTGTTATTTAACTCCGCTCTGTGTGTTTGTTATCTAACACCGCTCTGTATGTTTATTATCTAAGTCCGCTCTGTGTGTTTGTTATTTAACGCTGCTCTGTATGTTTGTTATTTAACTCCTCTCTGTATGTTTGTTATCTAACTCCGCTCTGTATGTTTGTTATCTAACTCCGCTCTGTATGTGTGTTATTTAACTCCGCTCTGTGTGTTTGTTATTTAACACCGCTCTGTATGTTTGTTATCTAAGTCCGCTCTGGGTGTTTGTTGTTTAACGCTGCTCTGTATGTTTGTTATTTAACTCTGCTCTGGGTGTTTGTTATTTAACTCTGCTCTGTATGTTTGTTATTTAACTCCGCTCTGTATGTTTGTTATTTAACGCTGCTCTGTATGTTTGTTATCTAACTCAGCTCTGTATGTTTGTTATCTAAGTCCGCTCTGGGTGTTTGTTGTTTAACGCTGCTCTGTATGTTTGTTATTTAACGCTGCTCTGTATGTTTGTTATTTAACTCTGCTCTGTATGTTTGTTATTTAACTCCGCTCTGTATGTTTGTTATTTAACGCTGCTCTGTATGTTTGTTATCTAACTCAGCTCTGTATGTTTGTTATTTAACGCCGCTCTGTATGTTTGTTATCTAACTCCGCTCTGTATGTTTGTTATTTAACTCCGCTCTGGGTGTTTGTTATTTAACTCTGCTCTGTATGTTTGTTATTTAACTCCGCTCTGTATGTTTGTTATTTAACGCTGCTCTGTATGTTTGTTATCTAACTCAGCTCTGTATGTTTGTTATTTAACGCCGCTCTGTATGTTTGTTATCTAACTCCGCTCTGTATGTTTGTTATCTAAGTCCGCTCTGTGTGTTTGTTGTTTAACGCTGCTCTGTATGTTTGTTATTTAACGCCGCTCTGTATGTTTGTTACCTAACGCTGCTCTGTATGTTTGTTATCTAACTCAGCTCTGTATGTTTGTTATTTAACGCCGCTCTGTATGTTTGTTATTTAACTCCGCTCTGTATGTTTGTTATCTAAGTCCGCTCTGTGTGTTTGTTATTTAACGCTGCTCTGTATGTTTGTTATCTAAGTCCGCTCTGTGTGTTTGTTGTTTAACGCTGCTCTGTATGTTTGTTATTTAACTCTGCTCTGGGTGTTTGTTATTTAACTCTGCTCTGTATGTTTGTTATTTAACTCCGCTCTGTATGTTTGTTATTTAACGCTGCTCTGTATGTTTGTTATCTAACTCAGCTCTGTATGTTTGTTATTTAACGCCGCTCTGTATGTTTGTTATCTAACTCCGCTCTGTATGTTTGTTATCTAACTCCGCTCTGTATGTTTGTTATCTAACTCCGCTCTGGGTGTTTCTTATTTAATTACGCTCTGTGTGTTTGTTATCTAACTCCGCTCTGTATGTTTGTTATCTAACTCCGCTCTGTATGTTTGTTATTTAACTCCGCTCTGTATGTTTGTTATCTAACTCCGCTCTGTATGTTTGTTATTTAACTCTGCTCTGTATGTTTGTTATTTAACGCCGCTCTGTATGTTTGTTATTTAACGCTGCTCTGTATGTTTGTTATCTAACTCAGCTCTGTATGTTTGTTATTTAACGCCGCTCTGTATGTTTGTTATTTAACGCCCGCTCTGTATGTTTGTTATCTAAGTCCGCTCTGTGTGTTTGTTATTTAACGCCGCTCTGTATGTTTGTTATCTAAGTCCGCTCTGTATGTTTGTTATTTAACGCCGCTCTGTATGTTTGTTATTTAACTCCTGCTCTGTATGTTTGTTATTTAACTCTGCTCTGTATGTTTGTTATTTAACTCCGCTCTGTATGTTTGTTATTTAACGCTGCTCTGTATGTTTGTTATCTAACTCAGCTCTGTATGTTTGTTATTTAACGCCGCTCTGTATGTTTGTTATCTAACTCCGCTCTGTATGTTTGTTATCTAACTCCGCTCTGTATGTTTGTTATCTAACTCCGCTCTGTATGTTTGTTTCTTATTTAATTACGCTCTGTGTGTTTGTTATCTAACTCCGCTCTGTATGTTTGTTATCTAACTCCGCTCTGTATGTTTGTTATCTAACTCCGCTCTGTATGTTTGTTATCTAACTCCGCTCTGTATGTTTGTTATTTAACTCCGCTCTGTATGTTTGTTATTTAACTCCGCTCTGTATGTTTGTTATTTTTAACGCCGCTCTGTATGTTTGTTATCTAACTCCGCTCTGTATGTTTGTTATCTAACTCCGCTCTGTATGTTTGTTATCTAACTCCGCTCTGTATGTTTGTTATTTAACTTCGCTCTGTATGTTTGTTATTTAATTTCCGCTCTGTATGTTTGTTATCTAACTCCGCTCTGTATGTTTGTTATCTAACTCCGCTCTGGGTGTTTCTTATTTAATTACGCTCTGTGTGTTTGTTATCTAACTCCGCTCTGTATGTTTGTTATCTAACTCCGCTCTGTATGTTTGTTATCTAACTCCGCTCTGTATGTTTGTTATTTAGCGCTACTCTGTATGTTTATTATTTAACTTCGCTCTGTATGTTTGTTATTTTATTTCACGCCGCTCTGTATGTTTGTTATCTAACTCCGCTCTGTATGTTTGTTATCTAACTCCGCTCTGTATGTTTGTTATTTAACTCCGCTCTGTATGTTTGTTATTTAACGCTGCTCTGTATGTTTGTTATCTAACTCAGCTCTGTATGTTTGTTATTTAACGCCGCTCTGTATGTTTGTTATCTAACTCCGCTCTGTATGTTTGTTATTTAACTCCGCTCTGTATGTTTGTTATCTAACTCCGCTCTGGGTGTTTCTTATTTAATTACGCTCTGTGTGTTTGTTATCTAACTCCGCTCTGTATGTTTGTTATCTAACTCCGCTCTGTATGTTTGTTATTTAGCGCTACTCTGTATGTTTGTTATTTAACTTCGCTCTGTATGTTTGTTATCTTTTATTTACGCCGCTCTGTATGTTTGTTACTAACGCTGCTCTGTATGTTTTGTTTGCTCTTATGTTTGTTATTTAACGCCGCTCTGTATGTTTGTTATTTAACTCCGCTCTGTATGTTTGTTATCTAACTCCGCTCTGTATGTTTGTTATTTAACTCCGCTCTGTATGTTTGTTATTTAACTCCGCTCTGTATGTTTGTTATTTAACTCCGCTCTGTATGTTTGTTATTTAACACCGCTCTGTATGTTTGTTATTTAATTCCGCTCTGTATGTTTGTTATCTAACTCCGCTCTGTATGTTTGTATTTTAACTCCGCTCTGTATGTTTGTTATCTAACTACGCTCTGTATGTTTGTTATTTAACTCCACTCTGTATGTTTGTTATCTAACTCAGCTCTGTATGTTTGTTATTTAATTCCGCTCTGTATGTTTGTTATTTAACTCCGCTCTGTATGTTTGTTATTTAACTCCGCTCTGTATGTTTGTTATTTAATTCCGCTCTGTATGTTTGTTATTTAACTCCGCTCTGTATGTTTGTTATCTAACTGCTCTGTATGTTTGTTTATGTTTGTTATCTAATTCCGCTCTGTATGTTTGTTATTTAATTCTCTCCCGTATGTTTGTTATTTAACTCTGTATGTTTGTTATTTGCTCCGCTCTGTGTGTTTGTGATTTAACGCTGCTCTGTATGTTTGTTATTTAACGCTGCTCTGTATGTTTGTTATTTAACTCCGCTCTGTATGTTCGTTATCTAACTCTGCTCTGTATGTTTGTTATCTAACTACGCTTAAATGTTTGTTATTCGACGGCCGCTCTGTATGCCTGTTATTTAACTCAATAATTTACAAGTCTGTACTCCTCTGTTTCAGAATTCGTCACGCTCATGAAGATGATCTAGTCATGAAGGTGTCATGGACATTTTGAACCAACATGCACGTGACAGTCATGTAGCATTCATCGCATCCACATATTGTGACGTCATCTTCTAATTGTCCGCAGTGAATATGGACACATTTAGTTTAGTGTCCTTGAGCACAATTTGGAGTTTTTGCTGACATTACAGCTAACGGTGTTATGAAGCCTATTTATAGTCTAGGCATTTACAGTCTTTACATTTACGACTCGGTGCAATTTGTGCCGCTTAACACATTGTCTTTATGTTACTAGAAGAATCACTAGATAAATATATAATACAATTTGAGAGTACGGATAAAATGACTTTTGAATTGCAAGGACTTCCAAGTGCCTAGAGCTTACTCACCATTTACATTAGAAGTGTTCCTATGATAAACCGCATTTTCCCTAATTCATGCTTGTTTTCGAACACTCTAAATGAACGACGTCATCCATTTTGTCTTCTAACTGGGAACTTAACATTCACAGTAATCTGGTTCTCGGCTCCCTTTGCGCGCGCTACCTTGCGTCAAAGCTATATATATTGCGATATGCGAGACGGGGCCCAGCTTACATTCACAGTAGTCCCGGCGTCTGTTCTTCCAATCAAATTGAGTAAAAGATGTAGTTTCGTAGTGTGTTATTCGGCAGCACGTATCATTGCGTATCCTGATACAAAGACTTGTCCCTCTTGTGATCGGTATTAGATGTGAAAAAAACCCGAGAGTAGGCAATTAATATCCGGGCATGACTTTCACTACTACGGTAACAAATCTTCCTTGCTGTTTTTAAATGGTCAATTCTTAACCTCAAAGTTACCGAGTGAAATTATACCGCTACTTCTTTTGTTTTACTGGTCATTTATTTTGGGGGTGAGTATCTAGGAATGAAAAAGGAAATAGCGAAAGGAGTCGCCAAGGGGTTAAAACGAATGGCACAGTTGTAGTGTTTGCAAATTAGAAGTATATATTTTATATTTATTTAAGTATCGTGGGGAGGGTGGGGATCGTGAAAACTCGCTACATGGATTTCAGGTTAGGGGGACTGAAATAATTGCAAACTCAAACCAATCCCCCTTGCCACACAGTCGCCCCTGCTGTAACAAATGGTCACTCCCTTACCAAAATGTATTTAACGATTGTTTCCCCT